ATTTGTTCTATATTTCGATAATTTTCGATAAATATAAATATTGATAAAAAAAAAACATGTTTACAAATTATTAAGAAATATTAATAGAAGAAGTCTTGATATTTAATTTATCGATATTTATCGAAACGAAAAATTGAGATTTTATAAAAAATCTAATTCCTATTTAAAAACTAATGACAAGTTTTGGTGAGAAAACTTATATTTTTTAAAGTATTCCTCTCGATAATTGATGCAACGATATTTATCGAAACGAAAATTGAGATTTTTATAAAAAAATTAATTTCTATTTAAAAAGTAATGACAAAGTTATTGTGAAAAACTGAATTTTCAAAAAAATATTCTACTCGATAATTGATTCATCGATATTTATCGAAACGAAAAATTGAGATTTTTATAAAAAAAATCAAATTTCAATTTATAAGTAAGTTTTGGTGAGAAAACTGCATTTTTTTAATTATTCTTCTCGATAATTGATTTATCGGTATTTATCGAAATGAAAATTGCAATTTGTATACCAAAACTAAAATGTAATGAATTTATTATATGAGGAAATTTAATAATTAATAAAATATTGGGCACCAATTTTTCCCCCAATTATTAGTTATCGGAATTTATCGAATTTAGAAAATGGTGTTTTTAATTTAATTTTTTATGCCTTTTAATTGATTAGTCACCGTAAAATTCATTCATTAAATCAATTTGAATACTATTTACAAAAAGCACCGGTATTTATTTTCATTTATTTAAATAATAACAACAACAACGGAAAATAACAACAAAAACACCAACCGCTGCAACTCATCGCGCAGAATTTACCGCATGTGTTTGCCCTTAACCATCAACACCAAATATAGCCTCCATCACCACACATTCTCTCCCTCTCACTCTCTCGCTCTCTGTCACCCTTTCACCTCGTCTATTTGCTCATTCATGCATAAGCATTGATGGTTTTGTTTTTTTAATACATTCCACCTCCTTCATTTTATTGTTGTTGTTGAAAATCAATGAATGTGACAACAAGTGTGAATGAATGAATTTAACAATAAGAAAAAATAAAAGACAAAAACAAAACAAAATTAAACAAATGACTGTGACAAGACCAACAGGGCATTGACGGACTATTTCTGCTGCGGTTCTGCTACTGCCGTCGCCGCTGCTGCTGCAGTGGCCGTTGATGAATAGTCATTTGCACAGTTTAGCCGGCCGTTCTCAGATTCAATGATTCAATTTTTAACAAAGTCCATTAGGTTTTTTGTGTGGCAGGTGGGAAAGAGGGTAAGAAAGGTATATTAATGGAGGTTATGGTTGCTTCTTTTTTAATGATAATCACCAAATGATTGACAAAGATTTCTTTTTAGCGGAAACTTGACAGCAAATTTTAAAAATAGAATCCCCCAAACCGCGAAACTCATTAACAATTAAAATCATTAAGTTTTATTTTGTTTTTTGGTTTCCATTTAAAAATAAGTAGAAGATTTTCTATTAAAAATAGTTTCTAGAAAAATAAACAAAACAATTTTGGGGAAAATTAAAAATAAATTTTAGAATATTTCTTGCTTCTTGGGGGATTTTTGAAAATATTTGATTATTATTATGTTGTTGTTGTTCTTGTGCATTTGAATAGCAATATTTATGTTTTTGTTGTTGTATTTGTTTTTTTTTTTTTTTTTAGAATAAATACAGTAAAAGGTTATTGACATATTTCTAGTTGTCATTCAAAAAAAGTCAGGTGCATGCATGCTGTTTGTTTTGCGTGTGTGTGAGAGAGGGAGAGAGTACGTGTGGTTCTTATTAAACATAATGACGCGCCATTTGATGATTAGCGCCATGTGTTGCATACTAAACATAACAACGACGAACCACAAAGTTGACGACATTGTTGTTGTTATTCGAGACAAAAACAATTATTGTTAACGGTTATAATAATTGAGTAGCGTTTTTTTTCTGATCGTGATCATTTTTTTATATTTTTCTTTTTTTAAATTTTTTATTTGGGATTTTTAATTAAATGAATACAGTATGGGTCGTATTTATGCAAATCAAAACATTCCTTAAGAAAAATGGGGATAGTTTTTCAATGGAAATTTAAAAAAAATCAACATTTTTTTTTTTTTGTAAATTTTAGGATTTTCTTTTTGTTTTTCACATTTCATTTATTATAAAATTTCATTGCATCCACTGTCAATGATTCATTTTTGTTGAGTTGCATCAGATATTTTATTTCATTTCGTCTCTTTCTCAGCCGGCTTTTGTCATTACAGTCGTCTTGTCGTGGTTGTTGTATTTCCATTTGTTTTTGGCAAGAAATACTTTCTATTATTGATTTTATTTTCCGGTTTATTTCAACTATGATTCATACAAAACAAAAAAGAAACAATGCGGATTTTGTCAAACATCCAATCAATAAAAAAATTACTTCCTTTGTATGGAAAGATGTGTGAAATCGGGTTTTGACTACGGTTCGAAATTGTCTAACATATTTCAGAATTATTTATTCTACACGACCTTTAATATTTCAGTGTAATTAATTTACAATTTGCCTAAAAGTATGTTATTTTTTTGGGGTGGGGGAGACAAACTTTATAAGGGGGAAAAATGTGCATTATTAATTTAACAATTTTTTTGTTTATACGACTGCGTATTTTTTTTTAAACCTGCGTTTTTTAATCGGATATTTGTATGATTTTTTTGATAAAAATATTTTTTTTTGATAATTTGTTTTTAATTTTTACAAAATATATATAAATAAAATTTCTGTTTCTTTTTTTTATAATTTTTTTTTTTTAATTTTTACAAAACATATATATTTTTGATATTTAAATTTTTTTAACTCACAAAAAAAGAATATTGCAAAAAAAGAAAACAAAAAATAATTGCACAGAGAACAATCGATTTTTCTCTGTTCATACCACCGATCCCCAACAAGAAATTCCAAATGGCATTTTTTTGAAAAAAAAAAATTCTTTGACAAAAATATTTTTTTTTTTTTATAAAAATATTTTTTTTTTTAATTTTTACAAGAAAAAAATATTACATTGATATTTAAAATTTAAGTTTCTCTCCAAATAGTATTTCTTTAAACATCTATGACCCCATTTTATTTGTGTTTTTTCCATTCTCTTTTGAAGCAAAAGTTGGCAAATTTTACTAAATTTTCTATTCCTCCATAAAAAAACTGAGGACCACAGAGTGTCCTTGTAATTCACATTGGGGCCTTTACTCACAAAAGATCCTCTTGCCAAAAACAAGGAAGAAAAAATAATTGCACAGAGAACAATCGATTTTTTTTGTTCATACCACAGATCCCCAAAAAGAAATTCCAAATGGCATTGTTGTTGTTGTTTTTTTCCGTCATCGTTTCAGTCAGTTACTGCCAGTAATGCAGCAGCAGCAGCAGCTGGGACTGGCTTGGCTGGGTGACAATGTATCGATGACTATAAAATCAACCAAGCACAAAACCAGAGAGACCAACAACAACAACATAAACTACAATCATCGTCATCATTCTCATTCTCCACGACGCGTTCTTTCATTCTCATCTCATCATCATCAATCATGATGACTGTCATCATTATTTTTTTATTTTTATTTCGTTTTTCCAACTCTTCTTATGCAGCACCTTACCTCTTCATCTCCTTGCTTCCTCTATCCCCTCTTTTTGGGGGCATTTTTTTTTTTGTGGGGGCAAAACGTTTTGTTGCACGCAGAAAATATATCTGTATATTAACTGTCTGTTGTGTGTGTGCGTTTTTATATGCGTATATGTATGTATGTTTATTTTATGTCCTCCCTATATGTGCATTTCAAGGACCACCATATTTCATTTCATAGTTTCATTGCTCCTCCATCTCCTTGTTTTCTCACATCTATTCTACAGCATATGCACACATATACACTTGATTCCTAATTGTTGTTTTTCATAGAAAAAGAATAATTAATGCATTCACAAAAATATTGCAGCTTAATTTGTTGCCATTGTTCGTTCTCCTCTTCTATATAATTGTCATTTTTTGTGTCGTGCCACATTTTTCACACGTACGTTCCATATGGGTTTTCATTAGTTACTCTCTTGTCTTGGCCGTTTTTACATTACTGCAACTGGGCAGCAACAGCAGCAGTGTTGCCAACCAGACATCATCACAGCTCTTTTTGTGTGTGTGTATGTGGGTGGGTGGTGTAAACATGGTTTCTTTTGTAAAAAGATAATATTTACATTGTTTCTTTCGTTATTTTTTCTTTCTTTCTTCTCTTTATATTTCTATCACACAACATCATGGCCTTCTTTTCCTCCCGTTATGTTTTGTCATTCTCTTTATATGATGGGTAATGCAAAAAACACTTGTTGACTATTCTGTGTGAATGCTAACGGGCGCGTTCTCTCTCCCTGTGTGAATGATAACGGGCTCTCTGTGTGATGATGATGATGCATGCCTAAACAATCATGACTTTTGATGCGTGCTCCCACAAAACAACACTCGTTGGCTATTCTGTGTGAATGCTAACGGGCGCGCTGTCTCGCTCTCCCTGTGTGAATGATAACGGGCGCGCTCTCTCATTCTCTGTGTGATGATGATGCTGCATGCCTAAACATCATGCCATTGTAGATCGAATCAAATAGAGTTGTTGATTTTAGTAGTAGTGGCAGCAGCAGCAGTAGTGCAAATACTAACAATAGGGGGGATCACAAGGATCAACAAAATAATGCAAACATTATAACACAAACACAACAACATCTTGAGCAAACAGATCATGGTCCACAACATGGCAAACATTCTACCAACAACTCTCCACAACAACAACAGCATGCTAACCCTTCCCCCATTGCCACAACTTCTTCTGCTTCTTCTTCTACCAATGACAACATCCTAACCACTATAATTGCCTCAAATTTAACTCACACTATTCGTAATTCTTCAAACAACAACACTACCAATGATCCTACTCAATTACAACAACTCCAAACACCACCTTATATTGATCTTCATCGTTGTTATCCACAGAATAATATGATACGCACCCCCGGCGGTGGAAAACCGGATGCCAAGCCACGTGGCCGAATGACAGCCTATGCCTACTTTGTACAGACATGCCGTGAAGAACACAAGAAAAAACATCCCGACGAGACAGTTATATTTGCCGAATTCTCCAGAAAGTGTGCTGAACGATGGAAGGTAAGTGGAAATTTTGATTTTAATTTTTTTTTTTTGGAATATCCTTTTTAAAAAATCATAATCTGCAGTAGGCTATAAATAACCGGAAGACAAATTACTATAGAAAAAAGTAATATGAGGGCATTTTTTTCCTTAAAAAAATTACCAGAAAACCCAGGATACTTATGTTTATAGAAAAAAGGCCTGTGTCCTGAGGACACCTTTTTCTAAAAAAAAATGTCTCAGTAACTGAGAACAAATTTTCCGGTGGACAAAAATGAGATCTAAAAGAGTGGACTCTGTAACTGAGAACAATTTTTCCGGTGGACAAAAATGAGATCTCAAAGAGAGGACTCTGTAACCTAGGTAAATTTTTTCTAAATATCAAAAAGGTATCTCAGTAACCAGAGGACACTACAGACATGTTTTCTATAGACAAGGACGCTGCAGAGGCACTGAGCGGTAAAAGAAGGCTCAGAAGAACTGAGCGGATTTTTTTTTTATAAAAAAAGAGAAGACACAGAGGTGCTGAGAGGATTTTTTTCTATAGAAAAAAATGCTCTAATGAACTGAGCGAATGTTTTTCTATAAAAAAAGAAGTCTCAAAGGTACCGAAAGGATTATTTTCGATCAAAAAAAGAAGCCTTTCAGAGATACGGATGGGATTTTTTTACTTTGAAAAAAACACCTCAGAGAATTTTTTTCTATCATAAAAGACGCCTCCGAGCTACTGAGCTGATTCTATTTTTCTGTAAAAAAACGCTCAGAGGTACGGAACGGATTTTTTTTCATTCGAAAAAAAGATGCCTCAGAGATACTGATCGGATTTTTTTTTTCTATAAAAAACAACCTAAGAGTTACGGAACGAGTTTTTTTTCTAACGAAAAAAGATGCTTCAGAAATGCTGAGCGGATTTTTTTCTATAGACTAGGAGCTACTACGCGGATTTTTTCTATAAAAAGAGAAGGCTCGGAGAAAAAAGCAAATTCAGAGGTACGGAACGGTTTTTTTCTAACAAAAAAAGATGATTCTCAGAGATACTGAGCGGTTTTTTTCTTTGAAAAGGGCACCGCGGAGCGTATATTTTTCTATCGAAAATATATACCTCAGAGGTACAGAATTTCTGAGGTAATCAGCGGATTATATTTATAGAAAAAAGAAGCCTTTTTTAAAAGTAAGAATCCTGAGAGTTTGAAAAACAATTCCAAAATCTTGAAAATATCGAAAATCGGAAGGTACCAACATTGAAACAAAATTAGTTGTTTTTAATAAATGAAATGTTATACCCTATACGAATACAACATTTTAGCCTATTTCGGAGGAATATGTGTCTAAAATCCTCAAAAACCCGAAAATCGGAAGGTATCGTTTTAGAGGCGCTATATTTAATCGCGAACCGTTATTCATAATTTTTGGTAGGGAGATTTTCCACCTAATCAGAATCCAAAATACAAAATACCAAATTTGGAAATCCACAGTCTGAAATACTCAAAGTTCGGAAAACGGAAGCTATTGTCATATGGGGTCGAAAACGAAATGTGGGCCAATATCAATTGTTTTTGGCAGGGAGGTGTTCGCCTCTGTGAGAACCTTAAATACCAAATTACAACTGATTTGGGGTGGAAATTTGTGTCTAAAATTCCTAAAATATCGAAAATCAGAATGTGGCCGTTATATTTATTCATGGACCGATATGGATTATTTTTGGTAGTTAGATTTGCCACCAAGTCAGAACACAAAATAACAACTTACAATCCACTTGGTGGAAAATGTGTCTGAAAATCTTAAAGTTCGTAAAATCGGAAGCTATTGTCATATGGGCCTAAACCTAAAAGTAGCCCAATATTAATTATTTTTGGTAGGGAGATGTTCTACCCCATGAGAACCCTAAATATCAAAATATCGAAAATCGGAATATGGCCGCTATATTTAATCATGGGCTGATATTGATAATTTTTGGTAGTTAGATTTGCTACATAATCAGAACCCAAAATACCGAATTACAGCACATTTGATTGAAAAATTCTCAATGTTCGGAAAATCTGAAGGTACCGCTTTATTGGACCTGTACCTAAAATTGGGTTAAAAGTAATTATTTTTGGTTGATAGATTTTCCACACTAATGAGAACTCCTATCATATCCAATCACAACCAATTCTGTTGAGAAAATCATCTAAAATCTTAAAAATACCGAAAATCGGATACTATACTCTACCCCTAAAAGTAGGCCAATATTAATTATTTTTGGTAGGCTTTCCCTGGTTCTCCCATACACAACATTTGAAGAACCGTCCGTCATAACGTCTGTCTGTCCTGCCAGTTCCCGTTCTGCATCAGAAAAAGCAATTTATTAAGTGCCAAATTGCTGGCCTCACTCCTAACAGCAGGGACGAAGAAGTATGGAGTATGGAATAGTTTATGATGATGTACCAAGGGTTGGTGGGGGAAACCGTACAGAATTTTTAAACGTGAGTGCCCAACAGCAGACACTTCGAACATTTTAGTTTTGCTTGGCTGCCACTTGGTGTGCTGGTCGTTGGGGTCGGTTGGTTGTGATTGCCATGTTTCTTGCTAAATGTACCAAGAAGAGACATAACGTAGCCCAACTAAAAATTAAACGCATACACACACAGATCCACATATCGCACACACACACACATTACAAAAGCCGAATGCATCGAAGCGTAGAGCATCAAAAAATATATATATTGAGGTTCTTGGGAAATTCTCAGTGATGTATGAAGCAGTGTGTGTGTGTGTGTCTAAAACTATATTTGATAAAGGCGACATACGCACATGTTTATATATTAAAGTGGGTCGGGTCGGGATATATTAAAGTGGGTCGGGATTTTTCCTTTCGATTTTCGGTAGATTGAAAATTTTAGATCCACAATTTCCCAACGAACTGGGAGTAAATTTAATATTTTGTGTTACTAATGGAGTAAAAAATCATTCTACCAAAAATAAATAATATGAGCATACTTTTAGGCATAGGTCCCTTATACTGGTACTTTCCGATTTTCAGAACTTTAAAGATGTTGGACACATTTCTCAACTGAATTGGCTGTAATTTGATCTTTTTGGTTCTCGTGGGGTAGAAAATCTTTCTACCAAAAATTATAAATATCGGTTCATGGTTAAATATAGCTTACCCATATAGCGATACCACCTTCCGATTTTCGGTATATTGAAGATTTTGTACAACAAATTGAGTATAATTTGACATTTTGCGGTTCTCGTGAGGTGGGAAATCTTCCTACCAAAATTATCAATATTCATCCACCTTTATTACTAGCCCCATTTATAATAACCTCTTCCGATTTTTTTGGAGTTTGAAAATTGTTGGCCCACATTTTCCAACCAAATTGGTTGTAATTTGATATTTTAGCTACTCATGGGGTAGAACAACTCCCTCTCCTAAATATAATTAATATTAGCCTACTTTTAGGCACAAGCTCTTTATATCGGTACTTTCCGATTTCGAAATTTTTAAATATTTTAGACTTGTTTTTCTTCTATTTTAAGTTCTCATGGTATAGAAAATCTCCCTACCAAAAGTTAACCATTTCGGCACACCTTCGATACCACCTTCCGATTTTCGGTATATTGTTGTACAACAAATTGATTATAATTTGACATTTTGCGGTTCTCGTGAGGTGGAAACATCTTCCTACCAAAAATTGTTCAATATTTATCCATCTTTATTAATAGCCCCCTTTATAATGTCCTCTTCCGATTTTTTGAAATTTGAAAATGTTTCACCCAGATTTTCCCACCAAATTGGTTGTAATTTGACAGTTTAGGTTCTCATGAGCTAGAAAATGTCTACGCCAAAAATAATTAATATTAGCCTACTTTTAGGCACAATCTCCTTATATCGGTGCTTTCCGATTTTCGGAACTTTTAAATATTTTAGACCTGTTTTTCTAAACAACTAGACTATTATTTAATATTTAAAGTTACCATGAGGTAGAAAATCTACCTACCAAAAGTTAACCATTTCGGTCCATCTTTAACACTAGAACGCCGAAGGCAGTTATTTTGACGGCTTTCCAATTTCAAGTACAAAAGCAACTGTGCATTTAATGACACTTTTTTTTTAAATATGGGGTCTTTTTGTACCTCATAGAATTACGTTTATTATAAAAAATTCACCAAATTTTTTAAAAAAAGTGTCATTAAATGCACAGTTGCTTTTGTACTTGAAATTGGAAAGCGGTCAACATGACAGCCTTCGGCGTTCTAGTGTTAATAGTATCCCCCTTTATAATGATTACTACCGAATTTTGTACACTACTTTTTCAACCGATTTGGCTGTAATGTGATATTATGGCTTCTCATGGGGTAAAAAATTTCCCTAACAAAAATAATTCATATTTGTCCACTTTTTTAGGTTGGCGCCCAACGTCAAGATACCTTTCGATTTTTTGTAGTTTTCAGAAAATTGGACTGTTTTTTATCTTCGTTTAATCAATTCACAATAAATCCTCATATTACTTGTCTGTGTCCCTCCATATATCAATCTGCCTGATCTGACCTGCTGCCTCCCCGCCGCAAAATGGCAATGTTTCTTATTATTGTGCGGCGCACTCACGATGGAGCCCTGACTGACTGAATATGGTTGAGGCGTGATTAAATAAATTATGTTATTTGATGTGCCTGTCTGGCTGAGGATGGATAGATGGATGGGGGGATATAGCACACGGACCGTCGTGCCTTGCATTGAATTTACCATGAACGGATTTTCTATTTGTGTGAGTTTGTGTTGACGATAGAAGTAATAGGGGTTGGTAGAGGTGGTAGTGATGCTGCTCCCTGCCGCCTGCCTGCTACATAAAACTGATGTGGTTGAGGGTAAATGACATTGATGATAAAGAATGGTAGTGGTGCTATGAGGAGGATGCTGACGGTGTGGAGTGTAAGGGGGAAACGAGAAAAATTGCTTAGTGTCATATGGATGGTGGACTCTGTGACCGGCTGGTTGGTTGGTTGGTGTTATAGTACAACCGGTTTGTTCATGATGATGCTGCTGGTGATGGATGGATGGGGGGGATGTGAGTGGACCCCGACAGCCGAAAGAGAGAGGTTGTTCTGTGCAAGCAATTTATTTTAAACTGCTCTGAACTGCTGCCGGTCCTTTATAATGGCATTTTGAACAAATCCTTAGGGTTGCCATATTATCATGATTTTTGGGTGTAATTATGGGTTATAATTTATAATGATGCCTTCCGATTTTCCGAATTTTGGACAAATTTGATAATCAAATTTACTGTAATTTGATATTATGAGTTCTCAGGCGGTAGTAGAAAATCCCACTACCAAAAATAATTCATATTGGTACACTTTTAGTAATAGGTCTCATACAACGGAACCTTCCGATTTTCGAAATTTTAACGTTTTTTGAAAAATTTTCCAAACAAATCGACTATAATATGATATTTAGAATTCTCACTGAGTGGAACGTCTCCCTACCAAAAATAATTAATATTGGCCCATATTTCAGTTTAGGCTCCATCTGACAATAGCTTCCGATTTTCGGAACTTTGAGGATTTCAAACACATTTTCTTTCCAAATGTGCTGTAATTTAATATTTTATTTGTGTTGTGATTAGGTGGCAAATCTAACTACCAAAAAATATCAGTATCGTTCCATGATTAAATATAGCTGCCAGATTCCGATTTTCGATATTTTGAGAATTTTAAAACAAATTTCTACCCTATTGTAATTTGATATTTAGGGTTCTCATGGAGTGGAACATCTCCCCACCAAAAATAATTAATATTGGCCCACATTTAGGTTTAGGCCCCATATGACAATAGCTTTCGATTTTTCGAACGTTGAGGTTTTAAGACACATTTTCATTCCAAATGTGCTCTTATTTGGTATTTTGGGTTCTGTTTAGGTGGTAAATCTCCCTACCATAAATAATTTATTTTGGTACACTTTTAGGTATAGGTCCCATACAACAGTACCTTGCAATTTTCGATATTTTAAAGATTTAGGACAATTGGGTGGGTGTAATTTGTTATTTTGTGATTTCGTGAGGCAGCAAATCTCACGAGCACAATAATTAATATCATCGGACCTCTTTCAGGTATAGGTCTAATGTAACGATACCCTCAATTTTCGGAATGTTGACAAATTATCCAATCGATTTAGATGTAATTTGATATTTAAGGTTCTGATTATGTGGTAAATCTTCCTAACAAAAATTATCAATATCGGTTCATCTTTACTAATATCGCCCTTTATAATGATGCCTTCCGATGTTCGGAATTTGGACGTTTTTGTACAAATTTTCCAACCGAATTGAGCGTAATTTGATATTATGGGTTCTTCTGAGGTAGAAAATTTCTATACCAAAAATAAATAATATTGGCACATTTTTAAGTATAGGTTATAGTACTGAACCTTCCGATTTTCGGAATTTTAAGGCTTTTTCCAAACCGATTTAGGTGTTATTTAGTATTATGGGTTCTTCTGGGGTAGAAAGTCTCTGTACCAAAAATAATTCATATTGGTACACCTTTAGGTATAGGTCCCATGCAACAGAACCTTCCGATTTTCGGAATTTTGAGGATTTTGGTCACATTTTCTAATCGATTTGACTGTAATTTGATATTTAGGTTCTAATTAGGTAATTCCATATTTAGGGTTAATATTGCCTCCCGGTAAGGTATAGGTCCCCTATAAAATCTCTATCCAATTTTTGGAATATTGACGACTTGGAAAAAGTTTTTCAATATAATTGTTTGTAGAAGGGAAGATGAATTTTCCTTGTTTTTCTAAAATAGCTGGCAGCTCTCTTTCACATTATTCCAATTCCGCCCCCCTCCTGCTCTTGTGCACGTCCTCCTCGTGTCTTCGTTTGGTTTTATTGTTTTGTTGATTGGTACCGGCTGTGACTACGGACGTTGTGGTGCTCCCTCATCTCCTCCTCCCCCCTTCTCGCCGTTGGTATATTACCAGCCCTTGCAAATAGTTACGATGACGGTGGTGGTATTACCAGGGTTCCCTTTAGGAGATTAAAATATACGATGTTTCCTCCTTATGGATACATATATTTCTTCACTACTATATATATATTGAGAAGAAAATTTTATATTTTCCCTCACATACACACACTTACATAGCAGGACAACATCTAGCTAGTAGCTCCATGTATTTCTAGCCTGGCTGGTTGTGTGTGACATTTGCGAAAGGAAGGGGAGAAGCAACGGACGTTCGTTGTCGTCGTCGCCATATACATGGTATGAAGTGTATACTTATATATGTATGTATGTACATATATGTAGACGACAGCAGCAGTATAGAGGATAAGAAGAAGGAAAAAATTATAAAATTTATTTTTAAAAAATAGGGATGTTGGGTTGGGCGTTAAATTAATTGGCATGCTCCCTCCACTCTCTCTCCCTCTCCCTTCATCGCTCTCTATATCGCTCAACTCATTTTGCCAATGCAAACAAGAAGTTCATCTTGACTTGACCTCAAGGTGATAAAGAAATTAAAATTTAGCAAGACACACCACCCTGCAATACTCGCACCCCTTTCCTCCTTCCTGCTTTTCTACTAAGGAAATTGCAATGCAATTTAAGTTTTTTAATTGTGGATTTAAAAATTTAATTGTGAAAAAAAAACGTTTTTCCAAGGCCTGTCCAAGCGTGGATTTTTATATTCATTTTTTCCAGGGCCTATTTCAGGCGGGGATCTTAAAATTCATTTTTTCTTAGATATATTGAGGTCGTGGATTTTTAAAATAATTTTTTTCCAAGGTCTCCCCCATGCGTGGATTTTAAAAAATATTTTTTTTTCAAGGCTATCCCAGACGTGGCTTTTTAAAATATTTTTTTTCAAGGCCTATCCCAGGCGTGGATTTTTTAAAATAAGCAAGCAATTTATTTTAAACTGCTCTGAACTGCTGCCGGTCCTTTATAATGGCATTTTGACCAAATACTTAGGGTAGCCATAATAATTCAAATTGGTACACTTTTGAGAATTATTGACAAAACTTCCAACCGAATTGTCTGTAATTTGATATTTTAGGTAAATCTTCACATCAAATATTATCGATATCGGTTCATATTTACTTATATACCCATTTATAATGATACCTTCCGATTTTCGGAATTTTGACGATTTTGAATAAATTTGTCAACCAAATTAGCTATAATTTGATATTTAGGATTCTTACGGAGTGGAACATCTCCCTACCAAAAATAATTAATATTGACCCACATTTATGTTTAGGCCCCATATGTCAATAGTTTCCGATTTTGCGAACGTTGAGGTTTTTGGGTATTTTGGGTTCTGATTATGTGGCAAATCTCCCTGCCAATAATAATTCATATTGGTAGACTTTTAGGCATAGGTCCCATACAAAGGAACCTTCCGATTTTCGATATTTGTTCCAAGGCGTGGATTCTTAAAATATTTTTTTTTTCCAGGCTTGGATCTATTTTATGACTCAATCTATTTTTTTAACGTATTTATTTCCTTCCCTTGATTTTAGTACCTAATTGTTGTAATTTTTCCCCCATCTTTCTTTTTTCTTTCTTTTCTTCTTTCTCTAGACAATGGTTGACAAGGAGAAGAAACGCTTCCATGAAATGGCTGAAAAGGACAAGGCACGCTACGAACTGGAAATGCAAAATTATGTGCCACCCAAGGGCACGGTAGTGGGACGTTCCAAAAAGAAGAAACAAATGAAGGATCCCAATGCGCCGAAACGATCATTGTGAGTTCGTAGCAAACAATCTTAGATACTTTTTTCTATTAAAATACCTAACTATAATTATTATTATATATTTATATAAATATATTCATAACTTAAAAAATATATATAGATATGATTTTCCATTGAACTCCGAAACTCCTCCCAAAAAAAAACAGAAAAGCTTGGATTTTCGTATGAGATTGAGGTTATGGAATTAATAAAAAATTCGATTGGGGTTACGACTGTATATGGAAGTTTGTCTGTATATATATATATATGTGTGTTTGAGTCTTTGAAAACCATAAATTTTAATGTTTTTTTCGTAATTTCAAATTTTAGATCTGCCTTCTTCTGGTTCTGCAATGAAAAACGTAATGAGGTTAAAGCTCTCAATCCTGAATATGGTGTTGGCGACATTGCCAAAGAGCTGGGCCGCAAATGGGCCGATGTTGAACCTGAAGTTAAACAAAAATATGAATTAATGGCCGAAAAGGATAAGGCACGATATGAACGGGTAAGTTCAACAAATTGCAATTATTATACATATTCAAAACTTGTATTTATTCCTCTTCTTCTTCTTACAGGAAATGACGGAATACAAGACAAGTGGGAAAATCGCCATGTCTGCCCCCTCCATGCAAGCCCAACAGCAAGCGGCGCAAAAGGCCGCCTTACTGGCTGTGGCTGCGGCCCAACAGGCCCAGCAGCAACAACAACAACAGCAGCAGCAGCAACAACAGCAACAAGTTCATCATGATGATCACGATGAGGATGATGCAGAGGGTGATGATGATGAAAATCAGTAGATTTAACAAAAAAAAAACAACAAACAAACTAATTAATTAATAATAATCATAAATATTATGCCCAAATGTTGCTTATGAGATAAACAAACAAAAACAACCACAATCAATCCAATAACAACAACAAATATTATTCCGACAATTAAAGAATAATTGCAAAAGAAACAAAAACCCAGAAATTCCAACAATTATTATTACCATATACCCATAAATTCACCACCCATCCACCCACACCACCACAACCCCCCAATAACATAAAACACAAGTTCTATTGAGGTCGTGGTCGTTTAAAATAATTTTTTCCAAGGCCCATACCAGGCATGGATTTTTAAAATATAATTTTCCAAGGCCCATCCCAGGCATGGATTTTTAAAATATATTTTTCCAAGGCCTATCCTCCTTCCAAAAAAATGTTCCCTTTCAAAAAAATTGGAAGCAGAAGACATCAATATTTTTTAAAACAGATTTCTTTTTTTTTTTGTAAATTTTAACTCATAACAACAGCAGCCCAGCCCCCCAAACACTTCCCCCTCCCTCCCACTATTTTATAAAAAATAAGCTTAAAATCCAACAATTTTCTATCTCACTTTTCAAATAATTTCTTCAAAATAGACAACACAGGGCAACCATGGAAAATTATTTTTTTTTCTTCTCTCTCCCCTTTTCACATTCTTCCAGTATATGTATGTACCACAAGTGTGTAAGTGTAAAGAATACTTTTGATTTGAAAAAATAGAGATTTTTTTAAATCCCAGATTTAAATTTTGGTATTGATTGCCCTGTGTTAATTTTTTTGACCATTATTTTTTTTCTCTGACCATCATTATTTTTTTTAAATAATTCACCACAACAACAACAACAAAATTGCAGGCAAAAAAAAAAACAAGTAAAGAAGTGAAAACATAATTTCATAATTCAAATTTTTTCTTAAAAAAACTGAAACGTTTTCATTTCTTTATCTTCTTTTTTTCATACTAATAATAATTATACGCTTTAAATTTTTATTTTCCCCCTTTGTGTGTGTGTGTGAAACTCAACATGATAATGAAGAACAAGAAGAAGATGATGAAAAAAATTACTGTGTAATTTTTATTAAAAAAAAAAAAAAAACTATATAAACATTTTATAATTTTATGCGTTTTTTTCGTTCTTTTTGCAAAAAACAAAAATTTCCAATACAACAAAAAAATCTAATTAGTAACTGAGTTATACAATTTTCGTTTTAAGCATATAACCTAAAATCGTAAATACAACAAAAAGTAATTTTTTCTTAGGTTATAACCACCAACAAAATCATCATATACTCTCCGACCCAACGGCATACATATTATTAACATTATGATATAATATATATATTTGTTTTAAATTGAACTATAATACTACTACATACATACATATATATAAATATTGTAAAGTGAACTTTTTTTTATAGAAAACACAAGATTAAAAAGAAAAACGATATGTGGCGTTTTTATTTCAAAATCATTAAGAAAATAATGACGGGTAGGAAGGAGGAGGATTAAAATACTTCTCCTAGTTTCTTGAGTTTTGAAAGGAGGTCTATTGAGATCTTGGATTTTTAAAATAATTTTTTCCAAGGCCTATACCAGGCGTGGATATTTAAAACAATTTTTTCCAGGCCTATCCCAGACGTGGGTTTTTAAAATAATTTTTTCCAAGGCCTATCCCAGGCGTGGATGTTTAAAATAATTTTTTCCAAGGCGTAGATTTTTAACAGAATATTTTCCAAGGCTTAGATAAGGCGTAGATTTTAAAAGAATTTTTTCCAAGGCGTAGATTTTTAAAATAATTTTTTCCCAGGTTTGGTTTAAATAATATATTCCCAGGCCTATTCCAGGCTTGGCTTTTTAAAATAATTTTTTCCAAGGCCTATTCCAGGCCTTTAAAAATCTGACATAGCATAGGAACTCTGTCACATGTTCAATATTTCCAAGGTCTTAGAAAAAAGAATTCAATAAATAGGTTTCTTTTTAAACTTCGTCTCAAATAGAGGAGTCCCTCCCTTCTGTTTTCGGAATATTTAAAGCCATGCGACTGTTTCTCAGGGTATAACAGAAGACTACCAGGCCAATATATAAAAATTTTTCCAATCGATTGTAAATAGTTATTTGTGCAGTTTCAGCGATTCGGGATTCTCAGAGAATAATACATTTTTACATGCAGACAATTTCCCATATATAGGTTCATAGGGCTTCACCCAGAAAAATGTGGATAATGTTTTTAAAGTATAACAGACCTCCAGGCAGAAATTTAGCCATATTTAGAGTCCAAAGCGATTAGAAGTATTTTATCGGACTTCCGACTTTTATTCTATTTGGAATTTTGAGGATTTCCAGTATTTAGAAGATGTTGGACATCTTAATAGGCGATAGTTCAATTTTTTGGGTTCTCATGGGATTGTTGAAAATCACCCTACCAAAAATTAAGAAATCAAAAAATTCCGCAAATAAATCAAATATATCTAAATTCCTACTGATATTTTATAGCTATAAAAATTTTTCTCGCATATCTAATGTTCGGGAAACCATGGCAGAATTCGATGTAGAAGATTTTTCTCTTTGGTAACAACACCCTAGAATGAAGTGTGGCCAGACTTTTGGCCATGAAAACAAAGTACCAAAAGTGCCACCTATAAGTAATGATTTTCCTTTAATATGACCACCTACATTCACGGTGGAATTTTCCGAACAAATCTTGTATCTACAGAATCCATTTTTTCGTAGACAAATAGTGATGAAATTCGATACAGAATATTTTTTCTATTGACCCAAAAACCGGAAAGTTTTTAGCATAGCACAAAAAGCGCCCGGTATAAACAGAAAAAAAGTTAAGTGTTTTGGAAACTTCCAACTCTGTTAAGAAAATAGCATTTTTGTTTCAATCTGGCAACTCGTTCATATTGAAACAGGTGTCCAAAAAAGACACATCCGCAATTTTTTTAGAATTGAAAAATTATAAAAGTGCGCTTTCATTGGAAAAAATTGCGGATACGCCTTTTTCGAAGGAGTTGTCAGATCGAAACAATATTCAACATGTTGTGCGAACTGCCCTCGTACTAAATGAGGCGTCTAGGTATCAACCAGTCTCCGTTCAATTTGCAATTTTTTCATTGTTATAACTTGGATTAAATGACCTTGGCTTTACTTTTGGATTAAATGACCGAGAAGTGCCAATGTCAACCTCTCGGTCATTTAATCCAATATACGTCGTCTGTATACAACTGTTATTTTTTCCTCTCTTCATTTTATCTTCTTAGCTCTCATAAAGAGAAATTATAACCTAAAAATAACATTGATTTAAGGGATAATGGGATATGTTGTTGTTTTTAAACCGATTATTGCCAGGTTCGAAGTCTTTTACGGATTAAAATCTCTCTTTTTTATACAAATACTAATAATTGCATTGTCGGTCGGTCCCTCGACAGTCTTTTTATTTTAAGAGATATCTATCGACTGTATAACAAAAATAATACCATTGCTTTGTGAACTCCTAGAAGTATGCTATGTTTTTTTTTTTTTTTTTTGAGTTTTACAAAAAAATGTTTACCCTGCGTCTAAACAAGTATAAGGGACGGGACAGTCGAAGACAATTGAGTTGATGCATTGATTGTAAAATAAAAAATAAAAATTGCTTTTGTGACGTAGGCACCCTAACAATTTGAAAATAAAATTTCAAAATAATGAAAATAATAATTTAATTCCTTTTTCATGATCAGCAGCCTTATTCTGGACATCAATTGCTCTTTTCCTTTAAAAGTTATTCTGAACCAAAACTCGTTGCGAATTTTTTCCCCATTTTCACTTTCCCCTTATATTTTGAATTAAGTTCGAATGTGAAATAATCCGCCTTGGGGAGAAAATTGTTGTTCTGGATTAATGTGGAGAGAATGTGAAGACCTTGTTTGTGCAAAATTGTTCGCTAATAAATTGTTCCAGAGGCAAAAATTGTATAAATCAGTTAATTTTATTTAAAAGATTTTAATTATTGGCTTGTTTTAGTAGTTTCCCAATTCCCATGCAAGATATTTAATTTTTCCCCTGTCTTTCAATTTGATATTTTTACATTTATTTCTCAGAAATTACCACACAATATATTCATCGTATGTATTGATATTAAAAAAAAACTAACAAACAAATTATATTCTAAAGTTTGTAAATATATACACATTTTCACTGTAAATATTAAACATAAAAAATAGACATTTTATATGATAAACATATATACCAGAAAATTATAAATTTTATGCAAAAAACTTTAATTTGAATAAAAAAAAACTCTTTTGTTTTATTTTGACATTAAATTAAAAAAATAATAATAAAATCATGATGAAGCAAACTTATATTTTGTTTTCATAAATATATTTTTATATATATATAAGGAAACTAAACATTATTTCTGATATAAGTAAAAAAATGTAATACACAAAGTTAATACTTATTGTTAAAGCTTTCATATGCTATTTTTTGCTTATATCAAAAATAATCATTTTAAAATTAAAAATAGTATAAATATGTTTTTAAAATAAAATCAGCTAATTTTTGTAAAATATTAAATATATATATATATATATATATATATTCTTTATTTTATTTTAAACAATTTAATTTAAAATTTTTTTATTCATGTTTCTTTTTTTGCATAATTTTTTTAATTTACATAGTAATTTTTTGCCAATATTATTTTTTTAATTGAAAATATAATGAATGCAAACAATTTCAGGCTCGAAAAAGTATTCCTATTAAATGCAAGTAAAATAATGATTAAAAAAAAGAAGAAAAACAATTTTAATTATATGAAAATTATAATTAAGAGATAATATACAAAATATATACAATATACAATAAAAAAAACAACAATCACAATAAAATCAATATATTATATAGAGAAAACAAACATCTAAATACACATTAACAAAATAAAACAAATTAGAAAAAAAATGTGGTAAATTTAGTAAAAAAAAATATTTGTAGAAATATCGGTTGATATTTAAATTTAAAATTTAGTAAACAAAATATTTGTAAAAATATCGGACACACAACTGATATTGAAATCGTTTCAAAAAAGATGCCGGATAGTCCCTTTTTCCATGAACTCAATTTTCATTGACTGACATAAACAAATTGCCTGAACCCCGCCCGACTTTCATTTGAAGAAAATAAAGACCTATATAAGATAGGAAAATAAACAATTTTCATTGACTGGCTGACAAAAAAAATTGCCCGAACGCCACCCGACTTTTATTTGAAGAAAACCAAGGCCAATATAAGATAAAAAATACATTTCTACTTAATTGAAACAGCTGTTTTCTCCATCAATTTACTGTCTTCCCTTATATAGGCTTTGGAAGAATTTGTATTTAAATTTCCATACGGATTTTCATTTCTTCATATCACTAAAAAAGGACCTCAGCCATTTCCCTGCAACTTTTCTGATATTTTTTTTTAATTTATTTACATTATTATTTTCATTTATTTATTTTTTTATTATCTAACAAACAGTGAGAGAAAAATTTTGTCAGAAAGCCACAATAGAAGAAGACATGTAATCAATATATATTTTTTAATTAAAATATATTTCATCAGTAAATAAAATACAAAAAAAAAAAACCAATCTGTATTAACACCAATATATATATGCTAATACTATTGTAAAAATAAGCAACCAAAAACCCAAACACAAAAACATAACCTAACAAAAAATAACAATTATTGTTAACGACAAAGAAAACTTCCACAGAAAAAAAATTAATATGTATTAGTAGAAAAAAAATTAAATTTTCAATTTTTTTATAAGTTGGGCTTCTCCTTCCTCGTCCCTTTAATTTGTATACCTATGCAGACTCTTCTCCCGGTGGTTCCTGCAAGAAATCACAAAAAATACAACATTTAAGTAATTATATAATTTTTTTAAATTTTTTTTTCGAAAAAAAAAAAATATTTATTTGAATTATCAAAAATCCCTATTGTTGGGATTTGAGAAACGTGAATTATTTAAAAAAAACATATATGGGAACTCTCAATCACATCTATTATATATATATATATATATTTTTTTTTTTGAATTGAGGAATTTAATTGTGAACAAAAAATTGCATTATTTTTTGAGAGGAAAATCCATATTTTCCAATTCCCATTTTTTTTTATTATAATAGTGATAAAAAATTCACATTTCCAATTCCCAATTTTTTTATGATAGGGGTAATAAAAATTCACATTTCCTTATTCCCAAAAGGCAGGCAGGCATAATTTTTTTTTTAATTACGTTTTTTATATTTAATTTTTTTTCCTTTAAAAAAATATATAAAAGTTTATACACAAAATTGAATTTTTTTTTTGTAATTATTTTATTTTTTTTATTTAAGATTAGATTTAAATTTATTCCTTTTTTACATTCACTTTATCTTAACAATAACAACAAAACATATTTTTTGAATAATGAAATATTTTTTAAGAAATACAAATACATAATTAATAAACAAAAAAAAATTATTAAAAAAAGATTATTATTTAAAAAAATATATAGTTGATCGTTAATATGTTTTTAAATTTAATTTTAGGTTTGCTTAGTATTACATATAATTGAAAAAATATATATAAATATTTTATAGACACACACACACAATATATACAACAACAGGAAATTTCAATTTTTAATTAACAAAAAAAATATAATTTAAAATGTAACAATAACAAAAATATTTTATTTTTCTAAAAGAACAACAAAAACAAACAACTTGTGAAATTATTTGAAAGAAAAAAAAATAAGTTTACTCTAACCACAACAAAAAGTTAAATGAAAAAAAAAATTAACAACAACATACATATTTTAGATTATGTAATAAGAACAAAAAAAAAAAATAAAAATATTAAAATAAATTTGCATATTTAGGCCTAAAAATTAGATTAATTATTAAAACAAAATCCAATACAAGATAAATAAATAAATAAAAAAAAACAAACTACAGACACTTTAAGTCTTGTGTAAATTTTTTTAGGATTTAAATATTTTTTTTTTTTTTTTTTGAATGAAAAAAATATAAATATATATTATAGTAAAGAAAAAAAAAAACTGTATAAAAATAATAATAATAAATAAAATAACACTACACTAAAACAAAAAATTAAATTCTAAAAAAATCGGTTAAAATATAAAGAGGAGTAGTATATACAAAATAATATAATAATATATAAAAATTAGTATATATTTATATATAATAAAAGAACAAAAAAAATTAAAAAAAAAAAAAAAAAACCAACAGGAACCCCCCCAATTCCAATCATTATCATCTAGAGATGCAATCTAAAAAACAAAACAACACACCTTCATACATTAAAAATAAAAACAACAAATAAAATAGAATCTTGCGCATCATTCTTTCTTATACAGCATTTTAGTGTTAATAATAACAACAACAACAAAACAGCAGCAAGTACATCAAGTAAATATCTAATAACAATATTATAAATAAAAATTAAAAAAATATATATTAATAAATAATGACAACAACAACATCCTTGCAAAACTTAAAAGAATGTCTGATTGTCATCACCATATATATAAATACATATATATTTATATATAGAAAAAAGCTCTCTGGATATAACATCAGAATGAAATTTTAGTAATATACAAAAACAAAAAATAAAATAAATTAAAAAAAAAATACGTACACATGTAAGTTGAGCAAAATAAAATGAAAAAAGGAAGAAAACAACAAACTAAGAGGAAGCAAAAGAAAATGAAAAAAATATATTAAATAATTACAAGAAAAAATCCAAAAAAAAGTAATAAAACTAAAAAATGAAAATAATATAAATTGTGTTTTTTATTTTATATTTGGGTTACACTTTGCAAAACAAAAAATAATTACCTGGAAATTCCAACAGATTATGAAAGAGGGGCTAAAAAAAGAAGACACGTGTATTGGCGTTTTGAATGTTTACGTCGGGAGGTAACCTAAAAAGGGAGGTAACCCCGTTTGAATGATTGAAAAACTCATTCAAACGGGGTTAAAGCTTGTCAGAATATTCTAAAGAAATGTTCACCAAAAACACATTTTAGGGTTAATATCGTACTTCATATAAGTTTTTACTCATTTTTCCCACAAGATGTCGTTTTAGAAGGATGGTGTAAGGAACAAAAATATTTTCCATCAATTTTTAGCATAAGTCACTAAACAAGAGAAATCTGTATATATAATGTATATACCGAATATATAGTCATACATTTTGAATAAAAAATTCAAAATGTTCTTGTATTTTTTTTTCAACAACATTTCCCCCAGTACTTTTTTCGACTAAGCGAATAATGAAAATTAATTTTAGGTGCATTATGTCAAAGAATAAAATATTGTAGGTAAAATTCCACTGCAAGTCCTAAAACAAACTTTATATTTATATTCCATAGTTTTTAAGAAAATTTTGTTTATTTTAGGAAAATTTTGTTTATTTTAGGAAAAATTGGTTCAGATTTCGATATAGCTCCCGCATATACATATATATTCATCCGATTTTACATAAATGGTGCACCAAACTCTTAATTAATGTTCATTTAATACATATCCCATTTGGTGAAGGGTATCATATAGTCGACCCAGTCCGACTTTAATACTTTCCCATGGCATAATTATGGAAGGTAGTCTCATTTGAGAAATTGATAATGTCAACCCTTTTTAATATGGAATTCATATATCAATTTCAAACGGGGCAAGGGGAATAGATTTGAAAAAAATTGCTAGTACCGGAAAATTTCTGGCAATTCGGTAATTTGAAATACCAATCCAGAACATTTTCGAACAGAAAAAACATTCACAAAATGTCAAAAAAGAAATAGTTTTGAAACCGAATTGCTTGTATAGACGCATGAAGCATGTTCAAAAGAGAACGATAAAAATTGCCCCAAGTAAACTCGCCTAATCTAAATCAGGACTGATCAGTCCCTTTGAATTTATTAGCGAAAAATTTCACACAAAATGCCATCACATTCTCCCCACATTCCCTGTAATCCAGAATAACTAGTTTTTCCCCAATGCGGAAAATATCATATCACCCCCTCAATGGAAAGGTATTTTCAATAGTACCGTAATTTCAGAAAACTAGAGTTGTTCCAAATATTTAAAACCAATCGTATCGTTTTTACTAAACTATATATTTTTTTCGAATTCCACTTCCCCAACAAATACGTGAAAGTGGAATTCACTCACTTCACTTCTTTGTTTGGCAACATGAACTATTGAACTACAAAAAAAATAGTTCCTTATCGTTCTATTTAGAGAATCCATAAGAAACACACAATCGTTTTTTTTAATTCTTCCACGTCCACTTTTTCTAAACAACAGGCAATCGGTCATTCTACATCCCACCGTATTCGTAAATACCAGACAAGATTTTATTAATTTTGTTTTGAGTTTATTCTTTATTACCCATCTGTATTTGCCTTCCTCTCTATTCGTGTTTGGGGAACGTTTTTCTATTCGGTAGGTGGTTTTCCAAAAGGCAACACGATCAATTGCATTTGGTTGAATTGGATGGTTGGGGAGTGTTGGACTAAAAAAAAAGAAACAAATGGATTGTCTAAACAATTGAAAAAAAAATCTGTTTTTCGTTTCCCACATACAACATTCCAGATTAAATATGAAATTAATTGGGTGAATTTTATAAAAATTTTCCCCCTAAACTTGGTTACAAATCAAAAGGTACAGCATTTATAAACCGCCATCAAATCTCGTTTCTATCAAATCGAGATGCGTGAAAATCCTTCCAAACATCAACAACAACAAACGAATCCTCTAAATAGCAATGCAGGATATACAGTGGGACCAAGCATGCACACCGCCAACATACACGACACTGCCAATGAACAAGAACAACAACAATGTAAACATTTAATGCAACAGCGTCCTCCGCCCAACCAGAATAATGTCCAACAATGGAAGCGTATGGAAATTGCATCCATATGCCCCGGCGGCGGTACATCGGCTGCCCAGTGCACGATAAGTTATTTAGAAATCTGCTCCACAGCCTTGTCCATAATAATGAGGGCAATGACGGTGTGCATTAATATTAAATTGGCTGTCGACTATCAACGTCAAGGACATCAAGATTACTTTATATGGACGGTAATATGTATTGTTACGCCAATGGTTATAACAATGTTGATACATGCAAATATGTAAGTAATCATGATCGGAGCGGAGGAACAGATACAATTTTATTTTTTTCGTTCGTTCTTTCTTTCCATGCAGGTGTTACCAAGATGGCAAATTTAGCCATGGGTGTGGTCAAATCTTACAGACATTATTTTTAGTTATGCTATCGTCGTTTTTCTTTCGATATTGGAAGTCATTTGTCTATGCCATCAAATGTAAGAAGGCACAATTGGTTGGTGATAAGCAGGCCCAGTTAAAGTAAGATGAAGAAGAACAACTCTCTCTTTCCATATTGTTTTGGAAATGTTCATTTTAATTCGAATTCAAAATTTGATTTACAGATATTACAAATTAAATGTACGTGAAGAAAGTGATGTGGCGTTTATCCGACTATTTGAATGTTTCCTCGAGGCAGCACCACAAAAAATTCTTTTAATTTCAATAATATTGGCACACCGAGATAAAATGTCAAGTATGCGAAGATGCAGATCAGATTTTTCAAAAGATTTTGAGAATAACAGATTTGTTTTGTTAATTGCAGATGCTCAAATAATTGCCATAACATCATATTTTGGTAGCATGGCCTGGGGTCTGTCCGTTTATCATCGTTACAATCGCTATTCGCAAAGTGACAAATACAATATCAGTATAAATGGTGTTATACTGCAGCTATGCTGGCATTTCTGTATATCAGGTGAGTCGAAAATATCGCGAAAATATTTGTAAAATCAATATATCAAAAAAAGAGAGAAAAACCTTTAGAGACTTCAAGCTCAGGGAGAATTTTAATAGTGGCAACGTGTCAGCCTAAAGGGAGTCTTTCAGAAAAGATCTCAAGGAATTATTTCATAGAGGACTGAAGACTGTCTTGATGGACGAGTTGAAAACTGTCTTTATAGAAAAGCTGATGGATGAAGGGAGTCTTTGTAGGCGAGCTGAAGGGAGTCTTTATAGAAAAGTGTGTGACCAAATGACCAATAGGCGTAGGTTTTTAAAGGAAATTTTCTAATGGACCACATGACCAATAGGCGTGGATTTTTAAAGGAAATTTTCTAATGGACCACATGACCAATAGGCGTGGATTTTTAAAGGAAATTTTCTAATGGACCACATGACCAATAGGCGTGGATTTTTAAAGGAAATTTTCTAATGGGCCACATGACCAATAGGCGTGGATTTTAAAAGGAAATTTTCTAATGGACCACATGACCAATAGGCGTGGATTTTTAAAGGAAATTTTCTAATGGACCACATGACCAATAGGCGTGGATTTTTAAAGGAAATTTTCTAATGGACCACATGACCAATAGGCGTGGATTTTTAAAGGAAATTTTCTAATGGACCACATGACCAATAGGCGTGGATTTTTAAAGGAAATTTTCTAATGGACCACATGACCAATAGGCGTGGATTTTTAAAGGAAATTTTCTAATGGACCACATGACCAATAGGCGTGGATTTTTAAAGGAAATTTTCTAATGGACCACATGACCAATAGGCGTGGATTTTTAAAGGAAATTTTCTAATGGACCACATGACCAATAGGCGTGGATTTTTAAAGGAAATTTTCTAATGGACCACATGACCAATAGGCGTGGATTTTTAAAGGTCTTCATCAATAGGCGTGGATTTTTAAAGGAAATTTTCTAATGGACCACATGACCAATAGGCGTGGATTTTTAAAGGAAATTTTCTAATGGACCACATGACCAATAGGCGTGGATTTTTAAAGGAAATTTTCTAATGGACCACATGACCAATAGGCGTGGATTTTTAAAGGAAATTTTCTAATGGACCACATGACCAATAGGCGTGGATTTTTAAAGGAAATTTTCTAATGGACCACATGACCAATAGGCGTGGATTTTTAAAGGAAATTTTCTAATGGACCACATGACCAAGCGTGGATTTTTAAAGGAAATTTTCTAATGGACCACATGACCAATAGGCGTGGATTTTTAAAGGAAATTTTCTAATGGACCACATGACCAATAGGCGTGGATTTTTAAAGGAAATTTTCTAATGGACCACATGACCAATAGGCGTGGATTTTTAAAGGAAATTTTCTAATGGACCACATGACCAATAGGCGTGGATTTTTAAAGGAAATTTTCTAATGGACCACATGACCAATAGGCGTGGATTTTTAAAGGAAATTTGACCAATCGTGGATTTTTAAAGGAAATTTTATAATGGACCACATGACCAATAGGCGTGGATTTTTAAAGGAAATTTTCTAATGGACCACATGACCAATAGGCGTGGATTTTTAAAGGAAATTTTCTAATGGACCAAATTTTCTAATGGTTTATACTTTTTTATTTTATTTTTTTAAATAATTACTAATTGTTTTTTTCGTATATTTCTCTCTCTCTCTCTCTTCCACGTCGTCTAGTCTCCCGTACGCTATGCATTGCATTTGTGGCAAGTGTATTTCCCATCTGGACCCTGATGGCCTGTTTGATACATGCTCTAGTCTTTGGCATGGCAACCTTCTTAATCGATAGTCCCAAATTTGCCCGCTCGGTCTGTGGTAATTTTTTCTTTTGTCTCATTCTGGGCATTGTTTATATTTTTACATATATCTCAGTACGTGATGCACCCACTCGTTATAAATATTTATTCTATTATATGTTCTGTTCGATGGAAAATGTCATCTGTATTGCAATATTTGTTTTGTATGCCTCGCCCGATTTAATATCGATCGGTTATTTATTTTATCCATTATGTGCTATGGGATTTTCATTCTATTATGTTGGCATTGTATTTATGATAATCTATTATTTATATTTTCATCCACGGATAACGGCGCGAACATCAAAACGTATTATAAATAATAATTAAGAAAGTAAGGAAATTAGATTTGTTTGATGCAAAACATCAAAAATAAAAAAGAGTCACAATATTTTTTTTCGAAAAAAAGAAAAACCATGAGACGAACATAGAAGAGTATTTGTATATGTGTGTGTGAGTAAATTGCAATAACTTAAGTGATATTTATATAAACATATATATACATAGAGAAAACCTACCATCTGAATATCCACCGCTTAAAAAAGGTGTTCAAAATAAATATACAATTGTTTTTTAAGTGATATTTGTACACAATCTTGTTTCGACGTGATGAGTGAATTTTTATAAAGAAAAATATAATTTTATTCATAACAAAAATACAATTATATATTAGAAAAAAAATAACACATAAGATATATAAATAATGATATATAATCATATATATATATATATATATATATATATATACGTTTTTAATAAAATATATATGTAAATATACACGAAAAAAGTAAAATAACTGTTTCATTTTTTTATTCATTCTTCAAATTCCACAGCATAACCTAAGGCGCTCCTACAATTATCCATGATAGTGATAAGAGGGGAAGGAAGAGAAATCAGGAATTTTTTATAGACGAGCTGAAGGGAGTTTTTGTAGACGAGCTGAAGGGGGACTTTATAGACGAGTTTGTTTTTCTTTATAATATACACTTTCACTAATTCTTGATTTGTACTTTCTCCGCACATCTAGAGCGCACAACAGGCATCATATGGCTTAAGTGTATGTCCTTCTCATGCTGGACATGTGGTGGTATCACCCACCCCTCTTTTCAACCTAACCTATTAGAAAAATTCCGCTTTGGGAAAATCAGTTATTGTGGATTACAGGGAGTGTGGGGAATTTGTGCGAAATTTTTGCTAATAGATTAGAAAGAGAACCGACAACAAAAATATAAGTATTTGTGGGGGAAGTACTGGAAGGAATGCGCAGATAATTCCTACCTTTCTACAATATACGAGGGCAGTTCGGAAAGTTCTTATCCTAGCACAGAAAGCGCGGTATAAACAGAAAAAAGTTAAGTGTTTTGGAAACTTCCATCTCTGTTATGAACACATGTTAAATTTTGTTTCGATCTGGCAACTTCTTCATATTGAGACAGGTGATCGCAAAAGTCGCACCCGCAATTTTTTACGATAAAATCACGCATTGCGGATGCGCCTTTTTTGAACACCTGTTTCTATGTGAAAGAGTTGCCAGATCGAAACAAAATTTAACATGTGTCCATAACAGAGATGGAAGTTTCCAAAACACTTAATATTTTTCTGTTTATACCACGCTTTCTGTGACAATAAATTAAAAGGCTGGCCGCGACTGAAGCGATGTCCAACGATTGGGAATCTATAGAGAGCCCAACAGCGGACAAAGGTTCAAAGTTCGGAACTACCCGCGAAGCATCCGATGCCAAGCACAATAAACGTGCCGTATCTTATCTCCGCAAATTCGTAGCGCGAGATGTGAATTTGCTTTCGCAGAGGGAGGTTCATCTCATCAAGGGCAAGATGAAATTCGTAAGGAAATTCGAAAGAACTTACCCGCACGCCCCTTCAGATGGACAGGATCTCTCTGCCGAAACAGAAGAAAAATCCCCAAGGAGACCTCGGAACCGAGCAAAGTAGCAGAGTCGGTGAAGTCCACTGTCTCTGACAAATCTGTGAAGTTGACTTCTAACCCAAGCCGAAACCCTAATCAAAAGGCAATGAACACAAGGCTGTTGAGCACACCCTAACACAAACTGTCATCCATAAGGTTGATCGACGACGTGTTGATGCCTCTGTCTCAAAGCTCGATCCTACGCCTAGCGACAAAGGTGAAGCAGTTGCTGCTAAGGCTTTGAGTAGCCCCACCGTTGGTGGGTACAGGAAGAAGGGCAAGTCCGGCAAGGAACCATCATCTTCTGGAAGAGCGAATACTGCCCCGCAGAACAAATCTAAGAAGCGCATTCGCTCATCAGTAGGTCAACAGCCTTCACCCAAGAAGACGAAGACTTCACGTCTGACTGACCCATCTACCTCGTATGCGACTGTCGTTGAGCAACAAACTGCGGAGAAGAAACCTTATATCGAGAAGGCATCAACCTCCTCTGGAAAAGCTAACTCCAAAGTTCCTGGTCAAAGGCAGAAAAAAGCCATACGACAGACCGACCACGCTACCTGCTGACGATGATCTTCAGGTGGCAATCAAATCTGATTCTTATGTTAGGATTAGCGATAGTCACTGATTGCTTTGGCAATGCCCTCATGCAGAGGGGTGCTAAAGTAATAAACAACTTTAACAGGAAATCGAGAAATTTCCTTATGAGAAGGGAAGGGGCCAACCTTGCTGTGGTCTCCTTATTTGAGATCCCATTAAGACGTATTGTCTCAGCCTGGTTTCCCCAACTTCAATGGACAAAGGACTCCTGCTGAGAATGTTGACGCTGCAGAATCCTCGATTTGGACTGTTGTCTGTATTACTCCTTGTAACGAGAATGGAGGGATAGTTGCAAGAGTGGCAGTTATGTTTATTATTTCGAGTTATTTTCTTTCTTGTACGAAACATCATAATGAAATTTAAAAAAAAAAACATTTCAAACAATTTTTTTCTCATTTTTTTAATATTTATTGTGTTGTATTTATGTTTTTTCATAATTTATACAAGCTAAAATTAACCTAAACTCTAATTAAATATTTTATTAGAATCAATTTGTTTTTGAAGACACAATCAAAATCTCTTTTTGTTTTTGTATTTGTTTTCGTACAATTCCTTAAAAAATAATAATAGTAAAGGGGGGGAAAGCAGCATATACACCCTACATTAATATAGAGGATAAATGTATGAAACTAAAACAAATTGAAGTTTTTTTTTGTGAAATCAATAAAATTAAACTATAAACGTAAGATCGATCTTAATTACTGAAACATTGTATAGTATTTTGTTGTTTGCTTGTATTACTTCATACATTATTATTTAGTATGTAATTTGTTTATTTGTTTAATTTGTTTTTTTCAGTTTCTTCTTTTTTAATAACAGTTAACAATTATTTCATGGGTGAATAAAAAAATATTGCCGAGTTCATCAATCTCTTCCGGTTGACGTTTCGTCGTCTTTTTTTTGTTCGTGAAACCTTCGTGAATATTAATATAACCTCTTAAATAGGCCAGACCGAACGAACCAGAGTATTTTAATTTACAACAAAAAAATTAAAAAAAGAGGAAAAATATTAAAGGTTAAAAATATTGTAAGTCACCATAAATTAAATATGTATTTTAAATATAGATAGTATTACTTTTTGTTTAGAATTGCAATTTGTTGTTGTTATTATTATTAAGGTAAAAATGAAATATATATGGCCTTTGTTGATAATATTACCTAAAAATTTGAAGAATGTACAGAATGTTAAAAAAATTGGCAGAGAGGCCCCATATAAACTCCTTTATATCAGAAACATGTTGGTATTTCTTTCCATAATACCTTAAAAAATACCTAACTATGTGTTCATAGCAGAGATGGAAGTTTCCTAAACACTTAAATTAAAATGCTTTTGCTGGAAAATAGAAAAAAATCCACGTTCAGAGAAATAAATATTATTTAAAAAAAGGTTTTTTGGGTAATAGGAAAAACATTTAACAAAAATATTTTCCATAGAGGGCAGTTCGGAAAGTTCTTAGCCTAGCACAAACAGCGCGGTATAAACAGAAAAAAGTTAAGTGTTTTGAAAATTTCCATCTCTGCAACTCCTTCTTATAGATGAATGTGTTAAAAAAGAAGCATCCACAATTTTTATGATGAAATCACGCATTTCTAATTTTTCCTTTGTAAAAAATTGCGGATGCACCTTTTCTGAACGCATGTTTCTATATAAAGCAAATGTCAGATTGAAAAAAAAAACTTTTTGTGTTTCTAGGCATAGCAGAGATGGAAGTTTCCTAAACACTTAACTTTTTTTCTGTTTATACCGCACTTTTTGTGCTAGGCTAGGAACATTCCGAACTGCCTTCTTATAAAAATATACTTTCAAACATCAAGTCTTGTTAGGCTATAGAAATGATATTCTTCAAAAAAAAAAAAACTCCACGGTTAATAGAAAAATATTCTTCAAAAGAAACTCAGGAATGGCGGACCCCATAAAAATATTTTTTAATAAATTAAAAAGATTTAAAACAATTTAAAAAATTTTAAAATTTTTAACCAGAGTAGAAATGAAAAAAAAGCTTTTATTGGTCCACAGAAAATTATTCTTTTAAAACTCAACAGTAATTCTAGGAATATTTCAAAAATCCCATCTACAGAAAGAAGTCATTACAAGGGAATTCTTTTTAGATGTCGTTCACAATTAGAGAACATCTTCATAAAGAAGACCGGCCATTTTCGTAACTATTTCGAAGCCAGAATAAATCGGAGAGATTTTCAGATGTAATATATTTATAGGACTCAGAAATAGTGGACCATAGAAACAAATATTTTATAAATAAATTCGGGGCATGGTGCACCATAAAAAAAAACAATTCAAAAAAATTTTAAATTTTTATCCACAGTAAAAATTAAAAAACATCAAGCTTTTATTGGTCCACAGAAAATTATTCTTTTAAAACTCAACAGTTATTCTAGGAATATTTTTTAAAAATCCCATCTACAGAAGGAAGTCATTACAAGGGCATTCTTTTTTGGGACGTCGTTCACAATTAGATAACATATTCATAAAGAAGACATGCCATTTGCGTTCCTATTTCGTAGCCAGAATACATCGGAGAAATCTTCAGATATAATATAGATTTATAGAACTTTAATACCTACAATTTTTTTAGCTATTCTGATGCCAGAATACACTCCGGGTGTGTCTTCAGTTAAAAAAATATATATGTATGGGCCTTTAAAAAATAGCAACAATTTACAGTACCACTATAAAAATAGAGACCCATTTGGAGTTCTACCATTTAGAGCTTCTATAGGTAGACCGACTTCCCTTTTTTGAAGTTTACTATATATAGGGGTTTTTTAAGAGGTATTCTATAGATTAAGACCTTTAGACCTTTTTAAAGTTCAGATTTTTAATGCAATTCTGTAGATAGAAATACTTTAGAGGTTTTTGATTGTTTGTATAGAGTTATTTTTAGATAGCAGCAGTTTTATACATAGTAGACCTTCTGCAGTTTTAACTTTTTGCTAATAGATGAATAAATGGATGAAGTAATCTTCCCAAACAAAGGATTACGCCTCACCTTATTTTCTTGTTCTTGTTGTCATTCTGTACATTCTTCCCTATACAAATAGGAACTAGTGTTTTGTTGTTTTTGGAAATCAATGGGGATTTGGTACCGATGATGGTGATGAAGATGTTGATGTAGCTGGTGGACCAGCTAACGGTGTGGCTGGAGACTGGTTTGCTGCAACATGCTCTCCACTGCCCGGCGGCTGTGGTGGTGCTGGTTCCTTTTGCTGTTGTTCTTGCTGCTGTTGTTGTTGCAGCTTAAGTCGCTTCTTTGCCTGTATATCAGCCAAGGTTTGTTCTATCGATCGAACATCTTTCTTATTTTTACTCGGCACAAAACCATAGCTAGCATTTGTTTCAGTTTTACGAGCAGCTTCCAATGCTGCCTCCTGACCTATGAGATGAGCATATTTATCCTTATAATTAAAAGTTGGTTTAATTTCAGTTTCTTTGGCGGAGGCTGCATTGGATTTTCCATTGGGGCTGTTTTTTGTGGTTTCGCCTGCCGATGTTGAGGATGGTGATGCATTTTGTTGTTGGGAAGCACGCGCCAGTCTTTTTTGTTCTTCGAGTTCTTTTTGTTTTTGCCGCCTCTCGGCATATTCTTTGGCCACCTCTTCATTCCAGCCGTCTCCGTTACGGCGTGCGGCAATCTCATCCTCTGTGGGCGCGTTCTCTTTTTTGTACACTACCGAATAGCGATCAACATCCTCACATCCAAAACTCATGCATATAAAGCCGCCATACTCGGCCACTTCGTGTATTATGGAACGATGTACCTTGTCCAATGGTTGAAATTCAATGTGTGGACGATCGTCTTTGGCAAATCTGCCCACTCGCTCCTCGACAAATTTTCTAAATCGTAACAATTCCTCCTTCTGTTTGTTCTTTATGCGCTCGGCCATTTCCTTTTGTCGCTTGATCAGTTTCTTTTGTTCTTCATTGGCCGTGGGTGGCTTATCCATGGCATTTAATATGGATCCCAATAAATCCATTTTTTTCTGTTCTATCGATTCGATTATGTCGTCGCACACAAGACAAAAAATGTTATGATTTTTTCTATACACTGTTCGATGAACACACAACCTTCTAGCTAGAAGAATAACAAATTTGAAAAACGTTCCACCTGCTAACGAATTAGGAAGAGAAGATAAAATGGCCGATAAAGATGAACTCAAAGTGGTATAATCGAAATATTACGAATGATGTGGGATGGAGACGAAATAAGAACCGTATTGTTTACAACACACACACTTACAGCAGCTGCTGCAGTCAGATAACCGAGCCATACGAAATGTTAATGTGTGACTGCGTTGTTATATCCCAGCTAGCATTTGGAAGATCGTTTTTGAAAAAATCACCGTAGGGAGTCTTTAAAGAGTCCTTTGGTGATTAAAAACTGATTGACTCACTTGGACGACCAAAAAGGGACTCTAAAATGACTCCTTCTTATGATTAAAAATAGTTTTATTTTAATTACAACAAAAAAATGTATAGCAGTCGCAAAACAATCATCAATGTGTGTAAAATATGACTGTTTGTTCCGTTATTTGTCATCATATTTTGATCATCTGGAGATTGAAAAATGCTTAATCAAAAAAAGAGCATGCAGATGTTTGAAAAGTGATTAGAATTGTGTATTCTCCGATCACATTTTGCACAGATGGGTGATTAAAAAATGTTTGTTTTGTTTTCTTCCAAGTAAAACAAGACATTTTTTGCATTTACTGGAGAAAATTTTCATTTTTGCTCATTTATAAATGTTAAGTGGAGGTGTTAATATCAATTTTTAGTGAAGTGTAACAAAAGTATTAAAAGGTGAGTTAATGTGATTTGATAATTAATCAACTAAATTAATTAAACTAACGAAATTCATTATAATTTATTTTCAGAAGCACGATGGCGTGCTCAATTTCTTGGAGCTGCAGTTCGGAAGGTGTTCACAGATGGCTTAGCTACGCAAGACAGCTGAAGGGAACCTGATCAAAGGCTAGCGCAAACAATTATTTATAGCAACGGCAATCAAAAGTAAGTTCATTTTTCAAACATATAAGGTTTTTATTAAGACGGAACATATATATTTCCTTTCAGATATTTGTCATCGGTAACGATAAAGAAGTGAACAGTATTCATCAACACAATTTTCTACATGCAGACTGGGTAAATTATTTTTATATGTATTATTAACAATATATTTGATATATTTAATAACTATTATAAAATATATTAATTATACTAATTTTTTTACTTATTTAGTTATACAAAATTAATTAATTTTTAATTATTAATATAAAATGAATAAATGTCATTTTTTTTAATGTTTGTAATAAATAAACATTAAAATCAAAACATAATATATTTCTTTTTATTTTACCTTTTTACGGACACCCGAATATTTACAAATCACGTACGTGATTTGTAAAATCGTAAACTCTCATATATGACTAATAAACGGCTCGAATTTTAAGCATAAATGGATCAAAAAGGACTCCTGAATGAATATATGCATGAGTTATATACGACTACAAAAAGACTCATAAATGACACAATTAGGACTAGTTATAGATTTTAAAATTACTCAAAAAAGACTCGAAATAGTGTCACAAATTAATTAAAAATGGGGAAAACGTGTTTAAAAAATGATTCGAAAAAGACCCTTAAAATTATTAGAAAAAAGTTAAAAATTACTCGAATCTAATGCCGAGGAAGACTCATATGTGATTGATACAGAGGACTCGCGCCGGGTCGCACTTTTCTCCCGACGACTGAGTCAAATACGATCAGAAAAAGCGCGCATATTCGAGCATTTTAATCTTCCAGCAGTATTAAAAAAGACTCGAATATGATTAAAATTTTCAAAAAATGTTAGCTGGGATGCATGTTGACAACGCAGAAGTTTGCGGTGAAAGACAAAAATCGAAACGTCTAAAAATGGACTTATTGATCAGAGGCAAAAATCGAAAAGTCCACATTTTTCCTTATTCCTTTCTGAAAGTCGACTTTTACTCTCGACTACGCAATGTGTTAAAGTGTACTAGTAACTGTCGCTTTACAAAGAGACACCGTTAAAAATTGTTTTAAATGGCAGATAGTGCGTAGCCGACTTAAGATATGTTTACATGATGTCTTTATTGTGAATACATCATGATAAAGAGATTTTTACAGCAATAGAAATATATGAAGATTATTAATACCAAAATTATATTACAATTTCTGGTTAAAAGAGCGCTTACATTTCCACTCGATCTCAAATGTACATCCTATTTGGTTCCATTCTAAATTATAGTTCATTTAAAATAATAGTTCATGGCAAGGCTAGTTCAATGATGCAACAATAAGGTGATGTATTAAAAAAAACCTTTGTTTTTATCTCGACCATCTGTTAAATTTTTCCATATAATATTTCACATGGTTGGCAACACTGCACATCGAATTCAAGTAGAAATTACCCATTTTGGCAGTTAATCAAGACATCAGCTGCGCTAAATGGACTACCTATTCATTGTGCCATGGCTAGTTCCAATTGCCGATCATTTTCCTCCACACGTATTCCAAAGGTCACTGTGATCTCAAATGTATATTCTATAGCTTATACGTCAAATATAATTATAAAAGAACAATAAATTTATTTATTTGGAATTATGAATATGGTTTGGATTTAAAAAATATATATTTATTTTTCCAGCATATTCAGAGCTATTTCTTAGCAGTGTTATAGTGATGAATATTTGATGAAATTAAAAATTTTTAAATTTTTGCCAAACTTGGCTTTTAAAACATATTCAGTCTTATTCTGGATATTCGTTAGGGAGATATCTCGCTATAAAATTTTTTTTCGCATTTACATTATTGCCTTATTCTGAATGAATAGGGAGAAACAAAAAATGCGAGATGAGGATTCGAATTTTCGAAAATGCTGGTTGAAAAAAAGGTTTGTGTTGCCAAATATGGCAACATACAATATGGCATGTGAAACAGCTGTTTATTGTTTTAATGCAATTTGGTGCAAGAACTACAACAAATTGTCATCACATTCTCTCCCACTCCCTATAATCCAGAGTAACTAATTTCTCCCCAAAGCAGATTTTTCGCTTTCGAACTTCATTCAGAATAAGGTGTAAGCGAGAATGCGAAAAAAATCACTGTGAAATGTTGTTCAAAATAAGTCGAAGGTGAAGAGCGAGTAAATTCACGTGGAATTGACATCCAGAATAAGGCTGATAATAACCTATTAATTAATTAATAACGCACCCGCAATGTTATGGTAATTTCAAATCAAATTTTTCCATCTTAAAAAAACTATCTTCAAACATTTTTAAGTATTAATATTTTTTATTTAATTTGCTATGCATAGCACATAATAAATAACTTTATAATTATATCTTTTAAAACAATAATAAAAAAGTAATTGGTTTGTTAATAAATTATTAAAAATGTATTTAAATAACCTAAGCGCAAATTGCATTAGCTAAGGATTTATATTGCTTATGTAGTATATAAAAATCGTAATTAAAAAAAATGCTATATATGGAATAAGTGTTGTTTTTTTATTCTTTAGTAGAAGAGTATGGAAGATCTTTTGCCTTTTCCATATATCGACTTGGACGTATATATTCTAAGAAACGCAATATTAAATGTAACATGGATATGGGTAACAATATTGACCATACATCGGCACGTAAATAGGAATGTAAAATTTCGCCCAAACTTCTTGAGGGTTCCTTTAGTACAGATTCGTAAACTTTTTCCGTACGTTGTGTTACATTATCCCAATTATATAGGGAGGCTACCATTTCATTACATTTATATGGACATAATATGGCCTGGGAAGAATTATTAATCTCATCGTCATCATTACCGTAGTCATTATTACGGGCTATATCATTGGCATTGGTTTTTGTTTGTTGGCAAGTGGAAGTGGATTTAGACATATTTTTTACACTATTACGTTTTTTTACTTTTCTCGAATATTTACCGCCATTCTTGTGGGAATGATCGGCAACTGGAGTGGATGTTGTGTTTTGGTTGCTGGTGTTGGGAGTGTGAATTTTGTTGTTGTGATTTTCTAAACGTTTTATCGCCTTCAGTATACCCTCATATATGGAGTCTACTTCGGGTTTAGTTAATATAATTAGACTGTCGGGCAACACCTCTGGAATGCCACCAACATTGGTCGACACCACTTGTAAACCACATGCGGCTGCCTCAACAATTGCCATACAATAAGCTTCGGTCAATGAGGTATTTAAAAAAATATGGCCCTGTACAAGATACTCCCGCACTTGTACATGCTCAACAGCACCAACCATTTGTACCCGATCCTGCATGTTGGCCTTTTCTCGAATTTCCTCTAATAGCTCACGCTTCAGACCATCACCAACAATAATAAATTTTATGTTTGGCATAGATTTAAAACGCGGTATTATACCCGATAAGAGATCAATTCCTTTGCGATATACCAGACGCGAAGCAACAACGATGTTAACTGGAACAATAATAAAGATAAGGTATTTTTTATTATTGCAGGTGATAAAGAGTCGTTAAAAAAAATTAAATAAATAATTCCTTACTTGTATCATCTTGTGGCCTTTGACTAGGATCGGGTGTAAAAAGGGCAGTATCCACGGCATTGGGTATTACTGAAACTCTTTCCTTGGGAACTCTAGCCCTCAGCACCGTATTCTCCTTACCTAGGAAGAAAGAAAATTACCATATTAATATGCCGCTCAACAACATTGAACCCCTAATGGAAAAGCTTACCAATGTGCGAAACACAAATACAATGATCCACACATGTCAGATCGATTTCCAACATTTTATTGGTAAAGACCGCAGATAAATCGGCAAAACCAAATAGGCTGTGATCCGTGAATACAGTCTACAGGAAACACATACAAAATTGTTTTAAAAACAGACCCAAAATTATATAATATTCCATTACATACTTTTAATCCCAGCAAAGAGGCCACAATCATGGCTTCATGCCCCAGCGCCGAAAAAGCCGAATGGCCATGTACAATCTCAATTTGTTCCCTTATTAACACGGCCCGTATCAACGGGGCATTACATATCATTGTGGGCAATATTGTTTGAGCATAGAACACTTTAATGGGCAAATAATATACTTTAAGGCCATTGGTAAGATATCGTATACCCTTGGAGTCACCATAACAGTGGGTTAATATAATAACCTATTATTAGATTCGAATTAATTTAATAATTAAAAAAACATTAATTGTAATTTTAAAACGAATTTACCTTATGTCCCCGTTTCAACAAAATTTGCGATAAATTGAATATGTGTTCTTCTACACCGCCTATGCTGGGGTAAAAGAAATCCGATGCCATGCTATGAAGAATACAATACATGAATGGGTTTGTTTAATATTTTAATAAATTATTTAATTTAACTATTTACTTACCATATTCGCATCAAGAATATGAATACAAAATTAAAGAACAAATTATAACAAAAAATAGTCCAGAATATTGGAAAATACCACCGAAATATGGTCGCCGTTGGGTAAAGTGGGTGTGCGGAAAATAAACGATGAATTTCAGGAATCAAAACAAAAGAGAGACATGCCTCACAGAAATAGGGTTATAGAAGTCGTTGTAAATTAGTTCAAAGATAGGGTATACTAATGCTAAGTTTTCACGCTGCTTTTAAACGATAACCAAATCAATTTCAAATGTGAATTTCATGGAGTATTATTTAATTAAATAACTATAATGAATAAATGCGCCTTTTAAATCGACTTGATTTGTTAAAGCAGGTACATCCACGAAAAGAAAAGATATGTGGAGATCTATGGGGAAGAAAAGAAGGAGGGATAGAGAGATACGATAAGTTCACAAGGACGTGTGAGAAGGTAAGTATGAGATAGTATCGATGGCCATAGAAATCGTACAGAAGATATATTACGTGTCAAGGTTGCATTATCCCCACCACTTTAGGTTTCTAATGATGCTGTAGGTTAGAGCAGTTCCGTTGTAGAGAATGAACTAAGATTCGGTGGAAAATGAGCAGAGTCGGCCAAATGGATCTTGACACATTGCACCTAGGTTCATTGTGCTAAAGTGCATAGGCTCTTTCGTCGAAGAACGCCTTAAAGTTCCGATAAAGATGACATATGGGTGGTTTGATTGAGCCATCAATTGCTACATCTGTAGATTGAGATCCTCGTCTAGCTAATTCGTCTGCTCTTACATTACACATGGCGCCACAATGTCCTGGTACCCAACACAGCCGATAGCTTTAAGTAAGTTCTTGCAAAGCTGTTCCACACTTGAGGAGGACCTCAGATTTGATCCACGAAGATAGTCACCGGTTCAACGACCTCTGGATCCGTCTGTATAGAAAGCTTGACCTCCAGAGGGGGTTACTCCGGTTCCAGTCGTCTCTAAGTATGTTTTTAGTATGTTACTAGTTTGCTGGATGTCGACTTGTGGTGCAGGCAGTTCCAGCAAGCAAGAAAACCATAGGAAAGGATGGGCCTTACCACGGTGTTATACAACCAGTGTAATTTTCAAATTTTCTCAATGGAATTCTGGCATACATAGAGTGCAATCTGCCCTCTCTTCACCCGTTCCTCAGCGTTCCTCTTCCATCGTAATCGACAGTCCAGGATTGTGCCAAGATATTTTGCTTCGGGGGCCAGATATTTGCATCTAGTTACTTTTTTCCTGATTTTTGTATCCCCCACATTTAAATTTATAATTTAGCTGTTTAGCATTTTATGTATCAATACGTAAGAGTTTCAGGTTTCCCCGCTATGTCATATAAATCCTCAAAAATTATTAATATACATATATATATGCGATTTTTTTCTTACATGAAATGTGCTTATATCCGATATCTACTGTACTGATTGGATTTAATTTTGCATAGTGAAAAGCATGGTATAATAATAGAAGGTAACAGCAAGTGTTGTTGTACAAAAAACGATACAACAACCACAAGGAAATTTGTTGTTGTAAGTTATACTAGTGTCAACTCATTTGACAGAAAAATGTAAACAAACAAACAAATTATCATCAAATTATTTTTATTTTGAAAATGAAATATTTTCGAATCCTCAAAATAAAAATTGAAAAACATGAATGAAAATCTATCAAATTTATATTTCTATCGCTTCCACATCTTTTCTATAATTGAGCCATTGCCATATATACATATGTGTAACACATATGAAAATGCTGGGAGTAGCGAGCTATTCCTTGAAGAAAGATTTGCTTCCTCAAACTTTTCCAGCAGGCAGATTGAGTAAATTGAATACGGGAGCACGTTTAATAAAGAACAATTTCAAATTGTATGCGTTCCCAATTTTCCTGTTGGGTGATTTTTAAAAACATAATTTGTCAAATTCATATTGACACTAGTATTACATTGGAATCAAATCAGCTGGGATTTGCTGTTACCTTTTATAATTGTACCATGAGTGAAAAGAAGCAAATTGAGTTAAACGGCATATACATTAGAGCTTTTTACCAGGTTAACCTACTTTATGAGGATTTATTTGACATATATGCGAGGAAATTGACAATTGAAACCTACTGGGTTAACGAAATCCGGTTAAATGTAAAGGTACTATTAGATTTAGATATTAAATTAAAGCACTTTATTACGATAAAAGCTGCAGTCTAAACGCGCTTTTATGTATGTAAACGTACTATATGAACCCCCTAATGTATTCGATGAAATAATTCTAGTGTGGACCGGGTCTAGATAAACTGAAACTAAAATGAACACTAATGTCCTAGTTCATAAGCTCTTTTCAGGGAATTGTTTGTTCGTTCAATTGAACAAGCTCGTTCGTGAACTAAACAACTCTAACGTACTGTGAGAGCGAGAGAGAGATCAACAATTCTTTTTATTTTTTGCAACAATTTTAAAATATTAAAGAAAAAATATCAATAAACATTTGAAATTAGTGGAAAAAAGGTTTAATGAAACTATTAAAACCAAGTTGGGTACATCATGACGGTATGTTGAATGGAAATACGAAGAGGAAACTATTCACTTTGCTAATATTTCATCCTCTTTTTTTTTGGTTTGCTTTACAAACAATGTGCGGCACTCACTATACGGCGGCGGCGATTTGTTGGAATTGTTGTTGGTGCTGCGGTGTTTGACACTTTTGCAAAATCCACCAATTTGTTGTCTTGGTATTCTGGGGAATTCTTTCTACTGTGCAGAAAAACCAATATTTTCCATTGATGTACATCAGGAGTGTCTTAAATTTGCCACCGGTGGCCAAGGTGTGGATTCCGGCCGGGTCGTAATATGGAATCTATTACCGGTCCTATCCGAAAAAGCCGAATTGGATGAATCGGTGCCGAAAATGCTATGCCAAATGGACAATCATCTGGCCTGTGTCAATTGTGTGCGCTGGTCGCAAAATGGTCTAATGTTGGCATCATGTTCCGATGATAAATTGGTGATGATATGGAAACAATTGAAGGTAGGCAGGCAATGGTCACGAAGTGAGAGTATAAGCATATGTTAGGGTCGCGGGTCGTTTGAAATGTTTACTGCATGCATAAGGGCAAGATATAATTTTGTCTTGCGGAAATGGGTTGGATATATGGGTTTTCGGTTTACTGTAATTTCTAGTGCATTTTATATGTAATTCACTAGGACAAAAAATATTTCTGTTTCAGACTTTCAAAATTCCTTTTTGGAAAATTTTAGAAAATTCTTATTTTTAATGTTAAAGCTAACATTTAAAAAAATATACACAATCCAAATTGTTTTTATTTATTTTTTTAATAACTTTTTTTAAAAATCGATTCTTCTTTCTTTCTACGTTTAGGGCCCGAGTGGCGTTTTCGGCACCGGTGGCATACAAAAAAATCCCGAATCGTGGAAATGTATGTTCACGTTGCGTGGACATGCCGGGGACGTTCTTGACCTCGCCTGGTCACCTCAGGATCGTTGGCTGGCCAGCTGTAGTGTCGATAATACAATTATTGTATGGGACGCACAAAATTTCCCCGTCATCATTACCACCCTTAGAGGACACACCGGCCTGGTCAAGGGTGTTTCCTGGGATCCCGTCTGCAAATTTCTCGCTTCACAAAGCGATGATCGTAGTGTGAAAATATGGAAAACGTGTGACTGGTCATGTAGTAATACCATTACAGAACCCTTTCAGGAATGTGGTGGTACAACGCATATATTACGCTTATCATGGTCACCCGATGGCCAGTATTTAGTATCGGCACATGCCATAAATAGTGGTGGTCCAACGGCACAAATTATCGAACGTGAAGGTTGGAAGTGTGACAAAGATTTTGTGGGGCATCGCAAGGCCGTCACATGCGTACGCTTTCATACGGCAATTTTGAAGCGACAAGCCCCCAAGTCACAGAAACCCCAACAGTATTGTTGTCTGGCTGTGGGTTCACGTGATCGTTCATTATCCGTGTGGATGACAGCATTACAACGGCCGCTGGTTGTGATACATGAACTATTTAACGACAGTATATTGGATCTTTCTTGGGGTCCGGAAAAGTACATCCTAATGGCATGTAGTGGTGATGGCACTGTGGCTTGTCTTCAATTTTCCGAAAACGAGCTTGGCACCCCCCTTTCCGAAGAGGATAGAAATGCGCTGTATCAACGTATTTACGGGAAAACTGCTGCAAATCTAACCAACGGTTCCACCACATCCAATGACATGCTTATCGAAAATCCCGAATTAATTTTATATAGTCAAAATAAGCCTAAACCTCCAACACTGCCAACAATGCAACTAACAACTAATCATAATAATATTAATAATAATTATATAGAATCTACAGGAACACTGCCGTCCTCGAATGGCTTCGGTACTCCGTCAGATGGTAGAAGTGTATTTTCACAAAACTCCACAAATTCCGCGGGCTCCGTTTCAGTTGTGCCACAAACAACGCCCGTTAAGGCGATAAGTAAACAAATGGAGACTCGGACCAAGGATGGTAAAAGGCGTATAACACCAATGTTTATACCATTAAATACTGATACCGTAACGGGTGCATCGGACGCAACGCATAGTTTTCAATCGACATCTGTGCTAGGTGGCAATCAAACTACCGCTTTCTCAATGCCCGCAGTACAAACCACTGAAACCAAGAGCACCGCAACAACGACAACGACGATAACAGGCGTAAATATTATTTCAAATGATGTTAGCAAAGAAAATATACCACAAACGGCAAAGTCGTCTTCTGCAGCCAGTGAGGATTCTGGGTAGGATCTGGTTTTCCCAAATAATTCAAATTCAATATTGATTTGTTGTGTTTTATTATTTCTTACAGCCGTTTAGATCCCCGCTTAGTAAAAAGCAATCAAAAACAACCACCCGAACCCTTCACTGTAAAACAGGATTCCTTTAAGGAGTTTCCTCACTTTAAGCGAACACCTCAACACATTGTGCCGACAAAAGATACATCGAAAGTTTATATGGCCTCAACGGCAGGTCCCAAGATAACAATAAACGCCTCAACAAAATGTGAATTTCAGAAGACTGCAATGGATTATCGTGTACATGTGGCCAATGGGGCGGTACAGACAGCAACTGGTCCATTGGCCCGGGTAACTGCCATACGTTTAGTTAGTGGTAAACTTTGGGAAACCTTTGTGGGTAAGTAGCAAATATTTATTGAGAAATGCTTAATGTTACTAATAAGGTATATGGTATATTTTTGCAGGCTCACCCATTATTAATTTCAATTTTTGTCTAAAATGCGTTATGCTGTGCAGTTTAGATGGTTCATTACGTTTGATGGATTTAATGAACGGTAATCCCTTAATGCCAGTCATTAGTTTGAGCACATCCGCAATACAATGTGCCTTTGTAAGTTACTGAGTATACTTTATACAGCTTGCTAATTTTTTATTATATTTTCTGTTTTACTTTTACATATTTCCCTTTTTCTTTAATTATATCTATCTATCTTCTATCTTCATTTTGTTTTTCTTTATCCTAGTCGCCCAAGGGTACTTTAGTTGGTGTCGTAACCGAATGTGGTCTATTGCGAATATGGAACATTGAAAAATGTACATGCGTTTTGTCAACAACATGTTCGGATATTTTCGGTAAACATGGTGCGATCTATCAATATACCATTACCGAAAATGGTGTACCATTGATTGTATTCTCCGATGGCAATTCATATTCATTTTCACCACAAATGCAAGCATGGTTGGTTGTTAGTGCAAAAGATCCCATTACCCGTCATGGTATTAAAAATTCTATACCAAAAGAATTTCCAAAAGATTATCAGGATTTTCCACTGATGTCGGTACAATCATCGACAAATTTCTTTGCCACCACAAGTGCTGGTATTGAACTGTAAGTATAAGGGAATTTTATTTGCAAAAAAAAAAAAAACATTTTAAGGAGAATTGTTATTTATTTGTTTGTGTCTATTTTCTTCTTCTTTTTTTCCAGCAATGCCAATGATTGGCAATCGATTGCAAAGATACAATTTGCCGAAAATCAAATAAAACTTTGTGAAATGATTAAATCGCCGGAAGAATTGAAATTTTGGTATAGCATGTTGGTATTCTATGTATCGACACTGGGTAATGAGAAAAAATTACGCGATTTATTGAATGATCTATTGGGTAGTGGGCGACCAACTGCTCCCGGCGAGGAAGCAAAAATATTGGTAAGTCATAAAAAAACAAAGTATTTAAAAAAATATTTTTTAGGTCGATGATTGAAGGGTATTATCGTAAAATCGTGCTGAGTACAAATAGGTCGAGAGGGTGCTAATGCTCCCAAAAGGTTGCTTGATACAAAGTTTTTGTTGTTGTAATAGGTTGGTTGTTGATGAAAATATTGATAGAAAAACGGAGGAAGGACAATGTTTTAATTAATTATTGGGAAATCGGATTTGAAAAGGTTATCCGGAGAAATTGTGCCATCTCTATTGGCTTTAGCCATAAATCTATAGGCAATAGACTTGTAGGCTCGGACGGACAATTGAAAAGATGGTGTGTGTCGTGAGGGCTTTGCTGGCAGAAGGGGCACATGTTTAAGGTTCCGGGGACAATGCGCTCTCGATACGAGTTGATAACATTGCTATATTCGGACCGAAATTGCAGGAGGATGTTGTTGTAAGACTTTATTGCATCTGTATCCATTTATGGCTTCGGAGACCGCCGGTTGATGCACGGATTTCATCGCGTTCGCTATCGACAATCTGTTATCCGTCTCATCACGATAACGCCTGAAGTCCTGGCGGCAGATAGCATGCCAGCAGGAACTGTATAGTCAACAACACCTTATGTTGCTTGACTGACAGCATCCTGGTATCCTCATGGAGGTGATAGACGCTCGTCATCTGGACACAGCCGGTTGCAATTTGGAGTGCATTATTTTGGGTTGTTTGCAAGGATCTCAGTGTGTGTCACTAAGGATACAAAGTAGTCCTCTCTTCTGCTTAGTTGGTTAGGGTTAATGTGTTGCAAAAGTACTGATAGGTATTTGGGAATAACTATGTCTGAAAGAATACATTTTTTCTAAACTTTTATCGGTTATTCGCTGAGCAACAGTTTAAGTATTTGTTTTCTACTGAATACATTTTTGCATCAAAAGTGCATATCCCCAACGGGTTTATGTGCAAGAATATACTGACGGAATGCCTTAACTACATTGGAGATTTAAAAGGGTATTGGTGTAACGAATAGTAAGACGTGGTGGGATTTTTGTAGTATACCTAAAAAACGGACTGTTAGAGTGTCTAGTTAGCCACGTCAGTTAGTCAAGTATATATCTGTGCCTTGAGAAGATCTATACGGCGTGTTTGACTCTCTCGTGTGTTCCGAGGTAAAGGTTACTTACATCCTAAAGCGGGTAAACCAAGTCACTCTGCACCAATGGACTATAAACCCATTAGCCTATCATTCTTTCTCCTCAAGACTCTCGAAAGACTGATTGACCTGGAGATTAGGAGTCGTATAGAGACCACCTCTCTTAGCAATTCACAACACGCATACATAAAGGGCAAGTCTGTAGAATCTGTATTGAACGATGTGGTTATATTGAGAGGGAGGCTTTAACAAAGTTAAACTTGAGTCCGTAAACCACTCACTTAAAAAAGTTGGCACTGCTGAAACCCTTATTTGTTGGATATATATGCTATTGGAACTAAACAACATACTGATGGAACTGGACGGAAAAGGTATCAAAGTCGTAGCTTATGCGGAAGATGTGATGATACTGATTTCCGGAAAATTTCCGTCAACAATCTTGGAGCTTATGCAAAGAGCCTTACCTTTGGGCATGGTTGTATCTTAAATTAAGCGACTATATATAACCAGTCCTAAAAGTTGACGATGTAGATGTCGTTATTGCTAGTAGAGACGACTGGAACCAGAGTAACCCTCCTCTGAACGGTTTGGCTTTCTATACAAACAGATCCATGATGGAAGAAGGTAGACGGGCTGGCGTTTATGGTGAAAGGCTAGGCTTTGCGCTTACCTGCAAGCTGGATAGCTTCTGTAGTGTTTTCCAAGTTGAAATCTTGGCGATTTGGAAGTCAGCAGAATTGATAAAAAGTCTGGATGCAGAGATCGTTAAACCGAAGATCGTTTTAAAGTCATTAAATCCTGTAATATCAAATCTGATGTTGTCCTTGAGTGTGGAACAGTTTTGGAAGTACTTACAGCTATCGGTTGTTTGGGTACCAGGACATCGTGACATCATGGGTAATGAAAGAGCAGGCGAATTAGCTAGACGAGGATCTCTATCTGCAGATCTAGCAATTTATGGCTCAAACCACCCATATGTCATCTTTATCCGAACTTTGAGGCGTTCTTCGACGAAAGAGCCTATGGCACAAATAACCTAGGTGCAATGTATTAAGATCTATTTGGCCGACTCTGTCTATCAAAAGGACCACACACTGAGCAAAGCTGAAATAACAGTAGTGGCAGGAATCATTACTGGTCATTGCAATATCAGGACTTTACCAGTTAATTGGACCATGGAGCTACTGATTACTGTAGACTCTGCATTGGCGAGGAGGAGAAGGAGACAATTGAGCATCTCCTGTGTCGCTGCCCAGTACTGGCCTACAGACGGCACAGACTAGTGGGTGCTCACTTTCCACCGAGTCTTAGTTTCTTCTCAACAACGGAACCGGTTCTAATCTACAGCATCATTAGAAACCTAAAGTGGTTGGGAAAGTGCAACCTTGGCACGTAATATATCTTCTGTCCGATCTCTATATCCATCGATACTATATCATACTTACCTTCCCACACTTCCTTGTAAGCTTCTCTACATACATTTCTCTTATCTTTTTCTTTTCGTGGATGATCACAATGGACCTGACGGTCTAAGAGTGCTGCAGCCACATTAGTGACTGCACATCCCCAATCCTAACCTAGCCACGTCAGCACCAGTCGAAAGAGTAATTAAATAATTTCTATTAAGAAGGTGGGAATTGTTTTTTCACCCATGGATTAGTTTGAATGTGAGTGTTAATGTCAAGACCTTTTGTTGAATTGGTTATTACGGCATGCCAATTCCAACTTTTACGTACCTTTCATTTAATTAATTTTTCTCTCAAAGCATTTCATCACCTTGTAAGAAAGGCGTTCGGCTGGTTGGGCCGGGTGTGCAGATGGCTGTCGTCGTGATTTAATTATTTGTATCTAGAAAAACATCTTTGTAAAAATTAACAAATTAATTTCATATTCTATATACTATTCTTTTTTCTCCATAGGACATACCAAAACACTCAATATTGGAAAGTACTCTGGAACAGATAAAACTTCTTCCACGATGGCAACGTATATATATGGAATACAATGAATTATATCATGATATAAAAACATTAAAACGAGAAGAGGAAGAAGTAGCAGAATCCAACAGCAACAGCCCATCCAACAACAATGAAACAGAAATATTATTAACGGCATCATCATCATCCCCAACACATAAACAATCTATACAGGCTCCAAAATTACCACCACCATCACAATCTATCTTTTCGGTATCATCAAATCATACAACAAATGAAGAATCTATTAAACTCCCAACCTCCGCCTCGGTCACAAAAATTCCAAACGAAGATGTTAACAACAAATGCAGTCCTGAACCGCAGGAACAACATATGGATATTGTTTAAGTGAGGAGGCTGGCTGGTGGCTGCAAAAATGCAAAAATCAATCATTGCCAAAACTCATTTCTGCTCAGCAGTTGTAAGTCATCATGATATTTTTAAATTCAAATTCATTTCCAACCAATTTCTTTTTTTGTAATTTTTTTCTGTTCTGTTTTTAGAAGCTAAGCTTTTGTCTGTCTATGTGTGTTTAGTAATTAAATTATGTTGTAATTTTAAATTTATATACATATATTTTTCATAAATCTGTCATCTTCCTCCTCTAACTTTCCGAACACCAAACTCCCATAGTTTCTCTCCTCTCCATATATAGATATTTAATTTCTAATTCCTTTTTTGTTTTTCAACTATATTAAATTATTTTCAATTGTATTTAAATTGTATTTAAATTTAAGCTTAAAAAGAAAATTTAATGACCCCCAGGTGATCATTAATGAAATTGAAATTTATAAAAAAAAACATTTATCAGTTTGTTTTCTGAAAAAAACCAAACTAAGCCCCACCCCCTATTACGACTTAAGACAAGAAAGACTTTAGTTTGATAAGTGGTCATCGTGAATATATATTTTTTTTGTTTTGTTAAGATTGATATTACAATTAGGAATGCAGCTTAAAAAATATGTCAACATATAGTTGTGGAGTATTTAAATGAAAAAATAAAATCCAGATCCATTTTTTTGTAATTTTTCGAGAAATTTTTAATAGTATTAAAAAGAATAATATTCAGACCAATAAAATAATCCTGTAATCGTATTTTTTCCGATAATTAAATTTTTTTAAGTAAAGTGAGAAATTGTAAATAATTCAAAACCTGGACCTCAACGAAAGTATAACCCAAACAATAAAGACATTGGGATTATATTGGATGCCGCAAGCTGATCAATTTTGTGTGAAAACAAATATTGATCATAATCAAATAATATCAAAACGTTTAGTTACGTCTGAACTTGCAAAACCGTTTGATCCTCTTGGCCTACTTGCACCGATTGTTGTGAAAGCAAAGATATTTATTCAGCAGCTGTGGTAACATACATTAGATTGGAGCGATCCATTACCTGAAAACTGTGTTACTTGGAAACCATTTCAAAGAGAATTGGAAGGACTCAACAATTTTAAAATACCCCGACATGTATTCTTTGGGCGGATTCCGACAAAACTTCAGTTGCAAGTGTTTGCCGATGCATCGGAAAGAGCTTTTGGCGCTACTGTTTACATTCTTTTAATTGCAAAAGATGAGTGCGAAGTTGTACGTCTGATGGACTGATTCCGAAATAGTACTCGCCTGGATAAAATCAAGGTCAAACTTTTGTGACTAATAGTGTATCAACTATCCAAACATTAACATTGCCAGAACAATGGAACCACGTAACATGAAAAGAAAATCCTGCCGGCATTTTATCCCGAGGACTTTCTCCTGCTGGTCCTTCTAAATGGCGATTATGGTTTAATGGTCCAGTTTTTCTTCATGGAAAAGAAGAATTGTGGACGATCAAATTCTCTTCTCAAAATGAAAATTCCTTCAGAAAGTTGCAAAGAATTTTGGCGCACGTGCTTAGATTCACAAGCAATGCACGGATACAAAAGACACACTGTCCTCAAAATATAGCAGTTTCTCCAAAAGAATTAGATGACTCTCTTCGTTTAATAGTTCAAGTTATATAATCGTCGAAATTTGCAGCTGATATCAAAGAATTCAAAGCTGAGAAGCAAATTAATAAACATAACTAGATTCAAAACACCCAATGATATTGCTATATAATGATCCTCTGGTGAAATTGTTATTTAAGATACTTCACGAAGAGAACAAACATTGTGGAGCTCAAGCTCTTTTAAACCCATTAAGACATCGATTCTTTCCAATAAAAGGCAAGAAATAAGAGCGAGATCTACTACTCAAAAATGTATAAAATGTATAAAATGTACTAAGGCGAGAACACAACTATATAAACAAATAATGCGAAATCTGTCAGTAAAAAGGGTAGTTCATGCTCGACTCTGGAGTCGATTATTGTGGACCATTTTGGATATATTATAAGCTGAGGGGCAAACGACCAACAAAGCCTTATGTAGCTGTATTCTGCTGCTTTGCAACAAAGGCAGTTAATTTAGAGCTCTTATCATACCTATCAACTTAATCATTCATTGGCGCTCTTAAACGATTTATAGCTCGCCGAGGTCACTACCAAAACATATATTGCGATAACACTACAAACTTTGTTGGACCAAATAATAGTGTAGAGGAATTATGTGAAACCATATATTCGGACAAGGCGCAAGAGCTACTTCTATCAGCTTCCAAGAGCTCCGCATTTCGGAGCTGCAGTGAAGTCCGCAAAACGTCTCTAGGTCCGTAGTGTGTCAACGGAAACATTACTCATGAAGAATTAGAGACAATCATAGTAAAGATCGAATCTATTTTAAATTCGCATCCACTCACATCGCTTTCAAACGATCCAGATTGCCTCGAAGCATTGACGCCGTGTCATTTTCTTATCGGAGAAGCTCTAACTTCGCAGGTAGATAGCAGAGCATATATTTCGAAGGCATATCACACTGGAAGTTAATTTCGCATATTAAGCACCAATTCTGGCGGTACCAATGCGGCTTCAGACCTGGTAAATTCACCATGGACCAGATATTCACAGTTTGTCGTGTGATCTGTTCATACGAGATGCAAATGTGAATACAAATGGCATTCTGTACACTAAACATCATATGTTACTCGCCTACGCCGACGACATCGCCACATTGACCCGTAACAAGACGCACAAGACGTCCAGTAGACTCGGACCAACTTTGGAAATTGAAAACTACAGCTTCGAGGTAGTGAACGATTTTATATACCTCGGTACCGCTATAAACAAAACTAATAATATCAGCTTTGAAGTCCGGAGGATAATAGTATTGACCAACAGATGCTACTATGGTCTGAGTAAGCAACTCAAAAGCAAGGCCAAACTCACATTCTACAAGACGCTGGCATTACCCGTGCTGTTGTATGGATCTGAAAAAAAGCGAGCCAAAAGATGGTTCACGCAGAAAGGGAAGGCCGTGGTCTTACAAATTGGATGAGATATGCACAAGACCGACGCGCTTGAAAATCTTTTTTATGCTCAGCTTATGAAACAGCCGTTCTGTTACAAGCCAGCTAAGTAAGTAATGGAAAATACGTCTCGGAGTGGAACAAATGAATCTTGCCAAAGATGGCTATTTTTTACTGAATTGTGCTTCTGCGGATGTTTTGCTCATTATGATTGAAGGTATTCTCGTCTTTTAGTGCAACAATTGTGGCCTGGACTAAACTAAAAAAATCGCTGGTAAGCGTAAAATTTGTTATGGGAATACCGTACGGTATTTGGGAATAGCTTTGACCGGTTGAAAGAGAAACTGACAAGAGAAGGGTGACGAACGAATTTATTGTAGACGGTTTGCATCAATTTCATTACAGGTTTTTACTGACATTTTTGCATAAAAGGGACCAGTCCCCGTCGGCTTTTGTGTAGATGTGGGATGACAGAGGATTTGGATATACTGACCGAATGCCCTTGCAACAACGATATTAGAGCTTTAGTAAGTGTGAGTATCGATGCATCCTAAATAGAAGGAATATTCGTGTTGCTGGTTTTAATGGAAAATCGACATATTTGATTTTCATAATGTCAACCATGACATAGCCTCCTTATCATAGCATGGATTAGGTAACCAAATCAATTGCTAGTAGGGACACCCTGGTATAAATCAGGCTCCATTCGAATACAGCCGGCGCCCTGACTTTCCACAGACGAAAATATAATCCACATAGCACATCAGTGAGTACCGGATTGGCATAAAGGGTCAATTTCTAACTTTTTTGTATTTCATTATCCAACTGTTATCAGATGGTTTTAATCTTTCCTAGTATTTACTGCTGTTGTTGGCCCTGTAAATATAATTTATATTAAAGAATTAGAATAAAAGATTTTGTATGATAAAAAATCAATAAAAATAATATACTCCCCAACAGATTACAATAAACAAAATACGCCAAGCATTTTATTTTGCAAAGACCAAAAAAGAAAAATACATCATACATTTATAAACTTAGCATTACTTATAACTATCACCATAATTATTTGTTATATATATGCTTTTACTGCATATAATGTGGACCCGGTGTGGGTACACTTTTTAACGGTGAATCAAAATCAACTTCTGTCTGTTCGGGTGGACACTCCTGGGCTGTACGTTCTTGCAAGGTTTCATAGAGTTTGTGTACGGCTTCATTGTGACCTGTAGTGGGCTGCATTGCCTTCATTAAGGTCGCCAATCGTCCGGGTGGTAATTTGTTATGAACATACCTGTAATGTGAGAATGAGAGAGTTTGAGAGAATTTAATATATTAACTTAAAAAAAATAATAAATCAAATCAAAAATTCTACGATTTCCGAATTCACAATAACAAGAATATACAAAAAACTTTTTCCAAATCATTTCTGAGAAGGGATAAAGTCAGTTCCTTCTTCCATTCGACTTACCACAATAACTTAATCATATGCCGTGTAACATTGTCCCTTGTTAGACCAGCAAATAAGAATTCATCGAACAATGTTGTACAAAAATCTTCCGTGGTAAATTCCTCGGCCATGGGTATGAGCAAAGCAATCTGAAAAATAAAAAGAAAAATTATTCAAAAACTGAATACAAAATGGTGGAGTAAAAAAATCAAGTACCAATGAATGTAAAAATGGATCCTCATAGGACCGATCATCTTTACACGATGATAAAATTGCCAACACTCTTAAAACGCCGACACGATCTTTTTGACGTGCCGTATTCAGCGTGTAATACATTGCCAAAATGCTAGCTACCGAACTCTCTTGGATATAGGCTTCAACAGCATCAGGTGCTGGCCCCGAATGTTCTATGGTCGTCAACGCCGACTCTCTTTCGTCGGGTGGCAATTTCGAATGTAAACTACGACACTGATCATCCACCATCAACGACATAAGCGCAGGCAAAAATTTCGTTACAACTTGTGAATCCAATTTGGGTTCTTTGAAGTCTTGCGAATCGATCATAACCCAAGCACTCAGACCCAATGCCAACATACGTAACAATAGTATCAATATTGTATTTTCACGTGGCAGTCCTTCATTGTTAATCAAATGTTGTAGGATCTTAATGGCCGAAGTTGCCAAAAAGTTAATGGCATACGGATCGCACAGTGTCATCGACAGATCACCCAAAACTTGTTCTTGACCTCGTTTGATATTATCCAGAAATCCTTGCAGCTCTCGCGATCGCTTGATGTCAACATTTTTCTCACGTATACAAGCATCCAGACACCAGGTGAATTTGTGGCATGGATCCACCGATATAATCTCCTGAACATCCAGCTCATGGAGGGCCATTAACAACTCCGCCCGAAGGGTACAATAATGAACGTTGCGTGTTCTCAAGAATAATGTTCGCAAAAATTGCAACACCATATCGTACAGCTTTACACTGCGACCAATCATGTTAGCCAATTTCTGAACGACTTCACCCTGACGTCGCACCTTCGGCGATGGATGAAAGAAGAGATTATTCAAATTGGTGTGATCGAAGAGAATGTGTTCCTTTTCCCTAATGTACTGCGACAGAAGTGGTGATACCTCATCACCGAACAGGGATTGATTGTCGCGCCATATTTGCCGCTTGACTTCAGTATCGGTATCGGCATACAATTCACGATCCCTTACCAATATGCGTAAATATTTATCATCGATGTGTGGCGTATTACGCAAAATAGCCATAACCACGGGTCGTAAAGCTTTTACCCGTACCACGGGAAAACTTTTCATCAACAGCTCTTTGAGTTTCTTGTCGCGCTCGCGTGGATCCTTCTGGCCCAGCTCATTGATGTGTGCTATTAATTTGTCGCGTAATTCCTCCATCAGCGATGTATGGAAATCTAAACGCCTTACACCATGTAAATCCAAGAGCGGCAGCATTGGTCGTAATGACGGCAGCAGTACTCCATTTTCCAGCTACACAAAACAAAATTCAATTCACATTAAAAACATTTTGTTTACATAGGAAATATCGTAAATATCGTTGTTGTTGCAGTGGTAGTTACCTGAAAACTCTCTATGGCCTTTAAGGGATCCGTGCATGATGTTAACGCTTCGCGTAAATATGCCTGTCCCGGAATATTAACTTCTTCTAAACCGGTGCCGGTAAATTTGGGAGGTGGTTGTGCCATAATTTATTCAAAATTTCTATTTTTTATTAAAGGAAAACAAAATTATCGCACTTATTCCACGTTTATTTGTTCATTTACTTGGCGTAAATTCTTTTTGGTGTCAACGTTGCAATTGATTGAACAGTTTTGAAAAAAAAAAATTGAAAAACGTTCCACCTGCTAACGAATGGGATGAGAAGACAAAATGGCCGATAAAGATGAACTCAAAATGGTATAACCGAAAGTTTACGAATGAGGTGGGATGGAGACTAAATGGAAACCGTGTTGTTTAGCGTGGTTTTATATTTGTCGGGATCGGGATCGGTGTTGAGAGTTTCTCTCTCTTGAGAGAGTAATTAGAGTTGCGCTATTTTTAATTTTGTAGCAGACGTACTTTTTGTTCACAAAAGGTACGAATTGACATAAACGTACCAAAACAAAAATTTATTTTTTTATTATTCGTGAATACATTTACGCTTAAATTATATCATATGTTATTTATGCAACTAACTGGTATAAATATTGGCCAATATTTCTCCATAATTATAGTTTATTATCATTTGAAGTAGAATTTTAGGTACCTTTTCGTACTTTTTTGTTCCTACCTGTGGTAATGTTTTCCAACACAATTCACAATTTACCACTGAGAGAGAGAGAAACTCTCAACACCGATCCCGATCCCGACAAATATAAAACCACGCTTACGAATGAGGTTTAAGGCAAATTATGATTAGGGATATGTAAATCGACTTTCGACTAATCGATTAATCGACTTTTGATATTTGAAGAAATCGCTAAGTGGGGTTTTACACTGTTGGTCATAGACATTCGTCATGAGAGTTTTCAAGATTGCTCTCTGAGAACCCAGCCATATTGACGGCGTTATTATTTATAAATAGAAAAGTCGAAAATCGATTTTGAACAGGTTCGACAAAATCGAAAAGTGTAATTTTGCCCTTTTCTACGTATCCGACGTATCCATAATAATTCTGTGACGTTGGCGTCAAAGAGAAATATAGAGTAGCCAGAGAGTATAAATTGTTAAGTGAACTGTTTTATCGACAATAAAGGTGTGCCTACTATTTTGGCGTATAACTGATGTCAATATTTATGTTCCTGTAAAGAAAGAAATGTTTCAATTTTTAAATTAAAAAACACACACAGGATTGTCATGATAAGTTGGCTTATTTTATTGTTAAAGAATAAAGGAGGAACAAAACTTCCTACTTAAAACAAACCTACACCCTCACAGTGATCCTAAATTCAAGATTCAGGATTCCAACTCTATCGGTTCAGCAACAATTCAAATTGTACAAAATTTAGTACACAGTAGTAAGAATTTCCAAAACCTCCTTCTTACCTAGACCCTAACAGTACGTTTACATTTAACCGGATTTCGTTAACCCAGTGGGTTTCAATTGTCAATTTCTTTGAATATATGTCAAATAAATCCTCATAAAGTAGGTTAACCCCTGTAAAAAGTTCTAATACACATGTCGTTTAACAGTGATACTAAATCCAAGTTTCGGGATTCCAAATATATCGCTTCACCCACAATTTAAATTGTACAAAATTTAGTACGAATTACCAAAAACCCAAACCTTCACCCCCACAGTGATCCTAAATCCAAATTTCAGGATTCCAACTCTATCGGTTCACCCACAACATATATTGTACCACATTTAGTACACATTAGTACTAATTTCTAAAACTGCCCACATACCTCAATCTCACAGCTTAACAATGATCCTAACTTCAAATTTCAGAATTACCGCTCTATCGGTCCACCAAAAATTTAAATTGCACCAAATTTAGTACCATTTAGTACTCACAAGTATTAATTTCTTAAACTGAATCCTGACCTCAATCCTTTGCCCCAACAGTGATCTTGACTCCAAATTTCATTGTTACAGCTCTATCAGTTCACACAAATCCAAATTGTACCAATTTAGTACTTTTCGTACACATAAGTAAAAAAAATGTCCCAAACTACGTACATATCCCAATCGTACAATCTTAAATTTTCAGGATTCCAAATCGATTTGTATCTCCAAATTAAATTTGTACCAAATATAGTACTTTTTGTACACATGAGTACACGCTTTCAAAACCATCTCTTTATATCGACCCTACTTCTCAACCCTAATTCGCATTCCAAATTTTAAGTTTTTAGTTTGTTCCATTCACATGTACCATATTTAGTACATTAGTTAATATAAATTGTACCAAATTTTAGTGCTTTTGGGCTACTTACGCATTTTAGTGCTTTTGGGATACTTATAGTGCGAATTTCCAAAAAATTCTTTGCTACATCTATTCTAAACACCATCAGTGACCCTCATTTCAAATTTAATAGTTCTAGCTCTATCAGTTCGCCAAATCCATTTAGTACTTTTCGTACCGTTCTAGTACGAATTTGCAAAAACCCAGCCTTATCTGACACCTTTGGACCAAGAGTGACCCTAACCTAGCTTCAGTCGTTTCGTCTGGGCGTTGATGAATCGTTAAGTCAGTCAGTAAATAGGTAAGGTAGAATTTAACTACAAAAATTAAAAAGTGGTCTGTTCTGTCAGAGTTACTTATTAACGTTGATATAAATATCCCTACACAATTACTCCGAAAGTGTACGTAACGTAAACATAGTCACATCAACCAAAACATAACAACATACATTCTATTACAATTTCAAACAGCTGTTGCTGCTGCCGCCATACGTCACTCCTGAAGACATAACTCAACTAAATTGTTCTTCTGAGGACGATAACATTTTATACACAAAAAAGTGTGGAAAATTGAACAAATTAAAATTAAATATAGAAAAATTATAGTTAATATAATTTATTTTTAATATAATTATATGATATTATGCTAAGGTGTGATTGAACGGTGACGAAACAATTACTTACAACTCGAATTCAAAATAAAACGAGCGGAAATCACAAAACTCGTACAAATTGGATCGCAAAAAATAACTAAAGAGGGTCAACGAAGGAGCAGCGAGTAAATGACAGGCTGACTGACTAAATGATTGAATGAATGTTGCTGCTGAATATGGAGCAAATCAAGATGGAAAACAACGGTCATCCGCAGAGTAAGTTTGGAAATGGTTTTTTCTTTTATGTTGGTATTTTTAATAGCGCAATTAATTGTTGGTTTTTTACATGACAGCTATTTAGGCGAGTTAGCTGATAGCTAAATAAAAAATATGGAGTTTTGTAAATATTGGAATTAAAAATAATCACTAGTTGGATAGTTTTGAATTGTTGTTTATGAAGGAAATTTGAAATTTGGACAAGCCGAAGTGTAAATCTCCATTGGCCATCTAGCATTAATTTAAAACACTTTTGGGAACGACTTTATCCATTACAGGATATTGTGGTTCTATTAAACCCCAGGTACGCTGGCCTATGGAGCTAATGCGGATGTTGCAAAATTATGTCTTTATTTGTTCCGTGTTTTTTCGAGGGTCTGATGTCTTGTCATTACATAGATCCCGTAAAACGGTACCAACCATTTTCCAGAAGGCTGTCAGTCGAATTTATGGCAGATTGAAGTGTATATCTGCATTTCTCATCAACATGGCAATATTGTAGGGCGAATATATATGTAGAAAATGTTCAATAGAGGTAAATTCTCTGACGTAGGGCCCACATAAATGTCCGGCTTCATTTTTGGTGTTTTCAACATTTTTAGTCGAATTCCCCCACAGAAAAGGCTAAAGTTTGGCCTTAAAAGTTCTTGGAGGGAGAGAAACATATCTGGATACATTATTCGATACAGGTTCATATTTTTACGTAGCATCCATATAATGCTTATAGCTCTATTTCCCCATATACTCAGACGTGTGGTCATAAGGGTTCCGGAAGGAGAAAAACATCTCAGTAGAAAAAAATCAATATAGATCTGTTTTGACATAGAGCTCTTATAAAGGATGAATAAGAAGATTTTCTCCAAGTATTCTTACAAGACAAAGTTCCCGCATATTCTTTTCTTTCAATTTTCTATAAGTCTGTCGTTTTTTACATCTTTAATTTTTTAATTAAGTTATATTTTTTCTTTTTGCAGAAAGGAGACGTTACCAAAAGGACTCTTCATCGACAGATGATATTGTTACAACGTTAATACATTTGGTGCGACAGAATCCCGTTCTGTACAATTATAAATTGCAACCGAATCAACGCAGGCGTAGCGATATATTAAACGGATGGGCCCAAATAGCAGCGGCCATTGGAAGTAAGTACAACGATTAGGTAAAAAACAACACGAAATGGTAATCAAGATAAGGTCAGGAATCCTGAGAATAAAAAATATACGGTCCTTAAAAAATATTTTTAAAAAAATTCACGCCTTATACATATTTTATATAAATAGTCCTTGAAAAAATATTTTTTAAAAAATAAACACTCAATGATATTTCTAATTATTATTACAGATCGTTACTCAGTGGAGGAATGTCGACGAAAATGGAAAAATCTACGCGATACCTATCATCAGTATCGTTTGAGAAAATCCAAAATCGGTGATGGCCTATCGAAGTGGCGCTATGCCAAAGATATGGAATTTCTATCGAATGTTTATCAGCCAAAATTGAAATCAAATCGTACACAAAGTTTCAATGCAACCACAACAACTACAACGGCGACTTCGACAAACTCATCGCAAGATAATCTCTTGCATAGTGTATCGGAGAGTAACGATGAACACGACGATCATCAGGTTCAAGTGCATCAGGATATGGTACATTCAAGTATTATTTCGGTAAATGATACTGACACGTTTATACTAACCACCTATGAGGATGTGACACACGATAACGACGTGAGTCACGAAGATCATCACAATATATCACACAGTGAATTGAATCATGACAATAATAGCATGGAGAATTGTGTCGAAATTGTTAAACATGAACAGCACACGAATTTAGATGACGATGGCAATACCGCGGCCGAGGTGGACTATGAGGAAGTGTGTTTGTACGAAGAATCGGGTAATACGCCTAGCGTCGATTGTGAAACAATCATTGGTGCACCCGTCACAAATTCCACCAATTCGGATGATACGAAATTTCAGTATATCGATACGAATGAGTTTTGTATTGGTTCCATGAATCCGACACGTTCACAATATTCGAGTAGTGCCAGTAGTGTCATTGGAGCATCTGGTACAATCAAATTGAAAAGTTTACCCATGGTAAGTGCTACGTCGTCGTCGTCGGGACAAATGGTCCCAGTGTCATCGAATACAACACTGGAGTCGACGGCAACATGTGTAACAATACCCGCAGCAATACAGCATATGGAACAACTGCCGGAATTGACACCGGTTGTAACACCGACATCTACACCGAAACCAACAACAGCAACGACATCGGCAAATGTTCTGGGGAAAGTTGAAACGAATACGCTATTGGGTACTACTACGGCAACAAATTCGACGACAATTGCTCAGCCAAGCCACACCAATCAAAATCATCAAACACATCAACAACACCAGCAGCAGCATCATCTGCATCATCCTTCCACATATTCTAGTAATTCAAATAACAGCAACAACAACACCAACAATAGTATGGGAACAATTTCAATTGCAACTACCACCTTGGCGGGATCAAATTGTATGGTAGCCGATTATTGTAATCATCAGCGGGAGGAATGTGATTTATTTTTTGATTTCCTGAAGAAGAAAATCCAACGTTTCCCCCCCGAAGAGATAACTTCGATACAAGTGGAGTTTCTGAATTGTGTTTTGCGCAGGGAAGCTGAACATGCACAGAAAGCTGCCGCTGTACAACAACAACAACAACACCAGCAACAGCATTCTCACCAGCAGCAGCAGCAACAACAAAACCATAATATGAAATGAAGTTGTTGTTTATGTTACGGAACTGTGTTGACACATCTTTTCCCACACACTCACACACCCACCCAACCCGCCATCCTTAAAGGTTTCGATCGATTGATCGTCGTTAGCACATTTTTATTGTCCTACATGTACGCGTATATACATATATTTTTTTTAATGTTTAGTGTATTTTAGTTAATAGGTATAAAAAATAATAGTAGTGTATTATAAAATGCCCACATATTTTTATTTAATAAAATTATAAATAAATTATGTAAATCGACATATTATGCGCGATTTCTTGTATTTGTAAAATCCACGCCTTGTTTGGGTCTTGAACAAATATTCTTAATAAAATCCACGCCATGTTTGGGTCTTTTAAAAAATCCACGCCCCTAATTTTTTTTTAAATTCCACCCTTCCAAAAAATATTTTTTTAAAAAATTCCACCCTCTCAAAAAATATTTTTTAAAAAATCCACGCCTCCCTAAAAGATATATTTTAAAAAATCCACGCTTCCCTAAAATTTTTTTTTTAAAAATCCACGCCTTGTTTGGTTTCAAAAAAAAAATATATTTTTTAAAAAAAAAATCTAGGCCTTGTTTGGTCCCAAAAATATAAATTCCACGGATTACAACTAATCACATTCATAAAAAGTTTATTGATTTCCGTTTTTTATGGCATTCGACTATATATATAATAATTTGAAAATTGGCCAATTCAAAAAAAAAAAATCTTTACACAAAACACACATAACTGTATTTTATATGTTTAAAAAAATTAACAACATAAAACTGAACAAAAATGTAGATGTGTGTGTGTGTGTGTATCTTAAAACAAATTATTTTTATATAAATAATGAATGATATCGAACACGATATTGTTTTTTTTTCTTGTTTTTAGTAGCAAGGAACACAAAAAATTTACTAATTATTTGGCAAACAATGATGAAAACTAATTAAACTATATACAAAATGGTTTGTTTTCGTTGTTAGGAGAATAAAAAAAAACTAAAGAAAACAAAGGTTGGTTGTATCCTCCTCCATATACTTAAATGATAATGAGGCACACTTGAAGTTATGAATTTGAACTTAAGGACTTGATACGATCTGTATTGAAATAAATAACGGTTATGGTGATGTCATCACGATAATAGCGTACAGCATCCTGAGGTAGAGAAAGATAATATGAAATTTTCGAATGTTCAACACCGTAATCCGTGCCGCCCAAGGCATGGCGTATTAAATGCGTTGCTGAATTCTGATCTAAAGGTTTGCGTTTGCGGCCAGCTCTGTAAGCAAATGAAACAAAAAATTTAAATATATTTTCAATTTACAAAACAATTTCCACACATACTTTCTTTCAGCCAACATCTCCGATATGGCCTGTAACGTTACATCGTTTTCGGGTAATTTAATTGGTTCCATTATCCTCTTGGAATTTAAATGCTCTGCCACGAGTTTAACAACTTGCGTGGGCGATAGAAAATCCCACAAACCATCACTGCCGATTACCAAAAATTTGTCATTTACCGACAATCGGTGATGATGAATATCAGGTCTCGCCGTTAAATATGGTGGCGTGTGATAATTGGGTGGCACAAAATGATCACCAAAGAGTGGCACCACATACTTGTTCATAATTTCATTTGACCACTTGTAACGAAAATCACCCAAAGCACGTAATGGTGCCAATTGTCCCAGTAAACGATCATTGCGAATTGCCGTTTCATGCTCCTCTTTGGGATGTTCGCTTAAGATTCTTTGTACTTCTTGTAAATTATCGGTGTTGTGTTCATTGTTGAGTTTCTTTGTTGTCCATTGGCCAGTTTCGGGGCAAAGTGATCCCAAGACCGCAGTACAATCTCCCGTACTGGCCAAATGCAAATCGAGATCTTCAATGTGAGCAACAGCACAGACGGCACCTGGGGTGGGGGAAGAAAGAAAAAATAAACATAAACAGATTTTTTAAGGAATATATTTTTTCATGGACCAAACAAGGCGTGGATTTTTTAAAGAATATTTTTTCAAGGACCAAACGAAGCGCGGATTTGTTAAAGAATATTTTTTCAAGGACCAAACGAAGCGCGGATTTGTTAAAAAATATTTTTGTCAAGAAGCAAACAAGGCGTGGATCTTATAAAGAATATTTTTTCAAGGACCAAACAAGGCTTAGAATATTTTTCAATATTTAGGAGGCGAACCAAGCATTTAACTTTTTTTAACTAAAAAAAAAAAACAATTTTACTGGGATCCAATACCTATATTTTTAAATGAACATTTCAGGAATTGTTCCTAAACGAAACGAAACTAAGGGACCGTACAAACTATTATGTAAAATAAATTTTCAGGATCGAATCCCACTTACCTGACATGGCAACAGCCATTGTCATCATACTGGTTTTATTTAAAGCCTCATCCGACATATCTTTATCCAAAAGCATAAAAGCATCTTCAATGGCTTGAGTTCGATCGGTGGCCGATCGACTGGATATTGTATTAATATATTTTGCAAAGCTCTCTTCATAAATATCCTTAATTTCCTTTACAAAATCAACCTGGAAAGAAGAACAAATTCATATTCGAAAATAAGCAGATATTATCAAAAAAGTTGATCCATACCTTATCATTGTGGCATTTTAAAAATGATTGACTATTACAACCTTTTGCTATTTCTTCCTTTAATACCTTTCGGTCTACCAGGGAGGCGGCAATATAACGCAGTAAACGTTTGCTAATAACTTGTGAACAGGCAGGACCAGCATGGCCGTCAAAGATACCACAAATAAAACCTGAAAATAGACACCACAACAACAGGTGTTGCAAAAATGTTTATAAACAAGCAGACTACACAACTATTACTAACCTGATTTATGATTAAAACTGGCTTCTGTTCGGGTATCTTCACACGGTGAATTGGAGGCCAGCTGATTCGATTCATAACTCAAGATCGTACTTTTGTCATCCGTAAAAGTGTAAACAAATTCATTTTCTCTTAACATTAAATTAACCTTGTTATTGAAATGCGGAAATTAAAAAAAAACATTTCAGAAAATTGTAAACAAATCTTGTTCGACATCAGCTCCCGATAGTTATACAGAGTGTGTATGGGTGTTTGTGTACTCACATCGTAGGGTGACAAATGCGGTAGTTGGTTGCAGCATTGCTGTGAGGTAATGGACAACTTTCGTGAAATAACACCAATGCCAGCTTCCAGATTGCCAAATCGTATCGAAGTCCTTTGTCGTACATTTGCGACATTGCGTAAAAATATTGTTAACATCTAAAAGAATGTGTATTGGAAAATGATCTAATTCTGTTTTGTTTTCTTTCTTGTGGTTGGTTTGTTTTTCAAGTCAAAAATGGGTTTTCTCTTAAAGCAGAAGGAGCAGTGGTGGGTAGGTGGTCGCTGGCACTTTTTTGCTGTCGTTTTTTCTCAATGAAATGTTATTGCGTTGTGTTGTTGTTTATTTGCCAATTGCAGCATTAATATGTTTACTTATAAATATATATTTATATATGTACTTTTTAATTATATTTATCTTTTTTCACGGACTTTTATTTCTATATAAAATTTCACGGAAAACTCAGACTGAGGAACTGCACTCGCTGCTATTGTCCAATTGAGAGTCGTCAAATGTGACATTTGGCATATGCTCTTATGTTGTGTGGCCTGGCAACACAATAGAAAATATACAGTATTAGGTTTAACATGATTTACACCGGGTAATTTTAATAGGGGGAACCCTTTGGGTGAAAGAATATAATAAAAGCACGATTAGAGTATGCCTAGATGTTAAAACCAGCATTAAAATGATTTGTTCAACTATTTAGAATTTTTAAGTAAACAAATGACACACATAAATAGTTGCCATTTTAGTACTTTTAAGGGAAGTAAATGAGGAATTCACATACGAGAATTCAGGCCTGGCCTGTTAAGTTAGCTTTGTATAAAATCTCAAAATATGTTCGATTTTAATGAAGATTATGCACATTATCACAATAATAGTAGTAAGTTCCGTTCCAGAACCTAAAAGATTTTACTAAGTTTACAAGTTTTCCAACTTTTTACTCGAAACCCGTTCCTGAATCTTTGTAATTAACTTTAAATTGGCTACATGAATTATAAATTATAAATGCAAAGGAATTAAATAAAAATAAATAGAGATATTTACATATACGATTTTAAATCGTTTTGATTAACCAAATCCAGAAATAAATCTTAACTGTTTACACATGATATAAATATCAATCAGCTGATATGTGTTAGTATAGACAAAAACGCCAAATATATTTGTTTGCATATTAAAAATGAAAAGAAATATATTAAGCTGAAATGTGTTACCATATTTTGATTGCTTGAAAAAATAAATATTATAATGGTATTTCAAAACTATATTTGTTTTTTCATTCACATCTGCGTCTTTTATTGTACTTCATAACATTGTAAAGTATTTTGGTGGAGACACATATGTGATCATTCACCAGGACTGGTTATTGCCTGGTTATCTGCCTCTTGTAAAGACATTTGGTCTGTTCCTTTAGTCTGGGTTTATACATGCACATTTTTTTAAGAACTCTGCCTCTACCTCTCAAGGGCTAAACACAATGTTCGCGTTTAGCGTTTTTTGTTATCGCGTTAACGCACGCAAAATGTTTTGCGTTTGTGTTATCGTTTCCTTGTGGTTGTTGTATTTTCGATAACACATAACGCAACGGATGTCTCAACGCGAGCATTCGCTTAGCCCTTCACTTTTATGAACTTAGCAGGGTTTATTACAAAAGTTGCATGTATAAACCCAGACATACTGCAAGAAACTACTCGATTTTACTATTTTCTTCTTATTACAAAGGAGAATTCGTTACCATAGTAAAAAGTTGTAAATTATTGCAGTACAAGAACTGTCCAATTGTTAACATCGATTACTTATTTATGGTCTGTGTGACTGTGTGTGTAATGTTTTGAAAAATATATACGAAAATCGATTTGTTTGTTGATGAATTTTACAACATTTATAAGAAGAAATGTATGATTTGTGAATGAATCCCCAACTCGATCTTGAAAAGAAAACCTGACATTTCATTTATCTTTCGGGTTTTTGGTAAAATGTTGTTGCATTTGTTTTCATCCATTCAGACATTATTGTCCATAAGGTAGAGATGTAATTTTTCCTTTCTGACAACCTACTTTATGAGAATTTATTTGAAAAATATGTAATGGAATGACAATTTAAACCCTTGGGTTATCGAAATCCCAATGTAAACGTTTTATAATATCGCTTTGAACTTCGGGCATGGTATTATAGTATTTTTACATTGTACTGGATTTCTTTTGCTCCTGCGCTCCATTGCATATAGGTCAAATAAATTCTCATAAAGTAATTAAACTGTTGAAGAGTTCAAATGTAAATGCGATTTAGTTAGTCATTTGTTATCGATAGTGTCACGCTGACTTGCGGTAATTCTAATCGGCAATTCTTCCATCCATCACACCTCATTTGTAAATTTTTCAATTTTCCACTTTGAGAGTTCCTTCATTATCGTCCATTTCGTTTTCTCTCCCCTTTTTGGTAGCAGGTGGAACGTTTTTAATTTTTCGCTGACATCAAGTTCGTACGTTTGCTTCTGTATCCCCATAACAATTTGACAATTGGACAATTTGGGGAGTAGCGAAGTGCGTTTGTGTGAAAATAAAATGGAATTATTTAATATAAAAGAATGAAAATATAAACAAAAAATCAATGGAAATATACTAAAAGAAAATGTTTATCACAACCTAGATAAATTTCAGTGCAATTCCAATGGGGAAAATTCACAAAATCAAATCTAAAATCTCCCTGAAAATCAAAATGAAAATGTAGAGGAAGAAAAAGAAACGAAAAAAAGACTGAATAAAGTTTGTGTGCGTGTGAGCAAAAAGAAGAAAGGGAAAAAAGTTCAGTGCAAGAAAAAAATGTATAATTGTCAACTAAAATTACATGATATTTTCTTAAAAAGAGTTTCGAAAAGTAATGTGTTTTTGTATAAGAATTTTTTTAGTTAAGTCTTAGAAAAATATTTAAAACAAGAAAATATATATCAAAGACAACTGTCTGTCTGTCGTCGTTTTGTGTGAAGAGGAAGTTCTCTGAAAATTTTATACACAATACACATAAAAAAGTGACAAGTGCAATCGTCGTCGTTCGTCGTCGTAGAGCTGCCGTAGCAGCAGCAGCAGAAACACAGCAGTTGCCAGAAAGCCAAAAAGAAAACGAAACGAAAAAAGCCAAAATAACCAGAATCGTTCGCTGAAAATGTCATTAAAACAATAATTGTTTTTATTGGCAAATATTATTTTTTCGATTATAAACAAAAAACAAGGTGGGTAGAAATAAAAACTTTTTTGTAAATAAAAATTTTGTTGTTGCTACAAAAACAAAAAAATGACCAGTGAAAGCTGTTGTTGGTTGCTTGCTTGGTTTATGGTTTACATGTCTTCTTCTTTGGCCTTCTACTGTGTGATGTGCCTTTTCTCACATTTTCCAAACAAACACACACACAAATAATCCCAACTGTATAGTGTGTGTTGTAATAGTGAGAGATTTGATGTTGTGTTTTCTTTTCATCGTTGTTTTTGTTTGTTCGATTGTGAGAGGGAGGGGGCAACCTGACAGCAGATGTGTGTAGAAAGGTGGAAATGTTGATGAAGAAACACACACAAAACAAAAATACACTTGAACAAAAAAGTTTTCATAAGATTTTTGATTGAAATTGGATTCTAATTAGAATTTTTAAATTGGGTTTTTATGTTCCAGTTCGAATGTTTTTTTTTGTGGTTAGAATGTGTGAGAATTTTTGCTGGACTATGAGAGTCTAGTTTGAAGATCGATCGCGTATCGGAATAGTTTTTTCTTCCTATATTTCCATTTACCCTGGAAAAATTTAGTGCCCCAAGGACTAAATATGGTAATAAATTAAAAACGATCCAAGTCATACTATACATCAATGGCAAACCAGTGCACCGTGGAAAAGGTTGAACCGTTCGGGGTCAGTTCGAATAATATGACCTCTCCTTAAAAAACTGCCTGGTTCACTATACGGATTTTCGACCTTTTTTCTGAACTTGACTTATGACTCGGGACCACGCATATAATGTTCTGTCCCCGAACAGCTTTGTGTGATTGACGTATCGAAAGCTTACCATAAGTCAAGAGCCACCAAAACATGTCTATCGTACACCCTTTTCTGGTTATACACCCTGCTTATATGTGCGGTCAATTTCAAACCCCAATAACTTTGACGAACCGGCAATTCAATTGGTAAAAGAGCAAGTCAAGACTGATGTAAATCAGTCTATGACTGACAGGACTGTAGTTGTGGGAGGGGACGACATATACGGGACTCTTAACGCTATTCGCGATAGTCTAGAGGAGCAGAGTAGGGAAATCTTCGACCAACTAAACAGGCTTGTACCGGAAGAGCAAAGTGGGGTTACGCTTCCGGAGGAACTGTTACAAAATCTTACCCTGACTGATGATCAAATGGACACCACGGTGATTCCGGCCAAGTCTACACAGGCTGATTGTTGTAGCCTCAACGAAGGAAGCGTAGACCTTGTTGACCGACCGACTTCAAGTCTGACTCCAACAGGTCCTATGTCGGCACTTGCCGACAATAAACTTCAAAGGCAAACTGCGACGAAGGCGATGTCCGACGATGGGGAATCTATCGAGACCCCAGCAACGGACAACGGTTCAAAGGCGATGCTGTGACAATTGGTAATTAACAACATACTGATGGAATTGGACGGAAAATGTATCAAAGTCGTAACTTATGCGGTCGACGTGGTGATATTTATATCCGGAAAATTTCCGTCAATAATCTCGAAGCTTATGCAAAGAGCCTTATCGACGCTGTCACGCTGGGCCAAGGCTAACGGCCAACAAAGACAGAACTGGTAATGTTCACTAGGAAACGTTAGCTCGGCGTCTTTGTTCCACCAAAAGTGGATGGAGTGCAGCTTCATCTGGCCCCCGAAGCAAAATACCTTGGCACAATCGTGGACTGTCAGTTACGATGGAAGAGGAACGCTGAGGAACTGGCGAAGAGAGGGCTGACTGATTGCACTCTATGCACGCAAGAATTCCATTGGGAAAAGTTGGGAGCTAAAACCATCGACTATACACTGGATGTATAATACAGTGGTAAGGCCCATCCTTTCCTATGGTTCTCTTGTTTGGTGGCACTGCCTGCGCGACAAGTCGACATCCAGCAAACTAGATAAGGTACAAAGAGCCTTCTCGATTCTAATAACTGGAGCCCCGAGAAGCGCCCCACAAGCAGCTCTCAACGCAATGCTGGACTTAAGGCATCTGGGTCTCAGCATTAAGTGTCAGGCCGCGCGTATTGCCCTAAGGCTGCATGAACAAAATCTATGCCGAATTTGTACCTACGGGCATGGATGTATCTTCAAAGAGCCAGGTATGACATTGGACCAACGCTTAAAACAAAGCGACTATATATCACCAGTCCTGAGATTTGACGATGTAGATGTCGTTATACATAGTAGAGACGACTGGAACCGGAGTAACCCTCCTCTGGACGGTCTGGCTTTCTATACAGACTGATCCAAGATGGAAAAAGGAGGCAGGCGTCTACTGTGAAAGGTTAGACCTTGAGCTTACCTACACGGTGGATAACAACTGTTGTGTTTTCCAAACTGAAATCTTCGCGATCTTGAATGCAGAGATCGTAGAACCGGTGACTATCTTTGTGGATAGTCAAGCGGCTCTTAAAGCCACAAAATCCCGTCCTCAAGTGTTGGGTACCAGGACAACGTAAAATCATGGGTAATGAAAGAACAGACGAATTAGCTACACGAGGATCTCAATCTACACATCTAGCAATTGATGGCTCAATCAAAGCACCCATATGTTGTCATCTTTATCCCATATGTTACTGATTTCTTTAGACTTTGTGTTGACGAGGGGGAGACGGAGACAATTGAGCATCTCCTGTGTCGCTGCCCAGTCCTGGCCTACATACGGCATAGACTAGTGGTTGCTCACTTTCCACCGAGTCATAGTTTGTTCTCAACAACGGAATCTGCTCTAATCTACACAGGGACCGAAAATAACAGTTATTTTTTAAAATGCGAACAAAAAAATCTTCATGTTAGAGACATGGGACACCAATAGTGTCATATACCAATAGATTCGAACTGAGGAGCCCATTAAGGATATTGAGTGATCTTGAGAAAACACTCTCAGTTCCCATGTTAAGGATTATTTTTTAACGGAAAAAATAAACGTTGATTTTTAACTGTTAAAAATGATTTTTATTTTTTCCGTCAAAAATAAAAGTCTTTTGGGATTTTTATTTTTTCCGTCAGAAAATAAAAGTCTTTTTGGGATTTTTATTTTTTCCGTCAGGAAATAAAACTCTTTTTATGTATAGAAGTTTATACAACTTGTAATCAGTTATAAAATTACAATTTATAAATCTCTGTCCTTATTACAATAAGTGTACACATAAGTAATCAAGATCAAAGGTAGAAAATATTTGTTATAAATTTTTAAAAAATAGTCTAGTGTACCAAATCATGAATATAAATTAAAGAATCATTCCCCTGACTATTAGGTCAAAGATTATATAACTGGTACCAAACTCTATATGTTTATTTACGTAAAAAGACTTTTATTTTCTGACGGAAAAAATAAAAATCACAAAAAGACTTTTATTATTGACGGAAAAAATAAAAGTCCCAAAAAGACTTTTATTTTTGACGGAAAAAATAAAAGTCCCAAAAAGACTGTTATTTTTGACGGAAAAAATAAAAGTCCCAAAAAGACTTTTATTTTTGACGGAAAAAATAAAAATCATTTTTAACAGTTAAAAATCAACGTTTATTTTTTATTTAGGTCACATAATAACAGTTATTTTTTACCTGATTTGATCTAAGTTATAACCGTTACGGTCCCTGAATCTACAGCATAATTAGGAACCTAAAGTGGTTGGGAAAGTGCAAACTTGGCACGTAATATATCTTCTGTCTTTCTTGTAAACTTCTCATCTCTCTCTATCCCTCTTCTTTTCTCCCCTCATAGATCTCTACATATATTTTTCTTTTCGTGAATGATCACAATGGACCTGACGGTCTCAGAGTACTGCAGCTACATTAGTGACTGCACATTCCCAAACTTAACCTAACCTATAAACGATATTTTATCAATCATTCGACACGTAGTTGATCGCATTGGCAAATTTAAAGGACTTTGATGTATAATTTGATCTCATTAATGGAATTATGCCATCAGGAAAAAAATACTGCATAAATTTGGGAATGCTTTTGGGAAGGTATAGCCCTAATAAAGGATCCTTGGTTGATCGATGCAAAGTTGAATCCCTCTATTTAGGGAGCCGAGAATACCATACCTTCTGATGAACCTTAGAATCAAAACAACATTTTCCCAGAGAAGGATGGGATACAACTACTAAGCATAGCATATAGACAAGTTGCAGTCCTGGCTTGAATATCGTTCTTATAAACACAATATAAAGCATGGATGAAGTACCATACACTTCAATGTCGGTACTGATAAGAGGAATGACATACAAAGCTTCCGACATAATTTGCTGCCTTGTAGAAAAAATGGTCGATTGGTGTAGCCTTGTGCTGATTTGAAAATTCAAGTTAAACTCGGGAGACCTTGTGATTAGGCGAACCTAGACCTAGTACAGATACAGAGCAGTATTTTTTCTTTTCCCAACAGTGCTGTAAAAGTCCCTGTAAGGAAGTTTATATTAAACGAGGTTTCCAATAATTCATGAGAACATTGCCATTAGGCCCTAATGAAAATATCGGATGATCTGTAAGATTCCATGATTTTTCCATTACATATATTGTGTCGATATGTCCTCTTTTGAGATCACCTCTAAACCGTTTCACGTACACTTCTTACGCCCAGTGTTAATTGTTTTATTGTCTATTTATTTTTTGGTGTGGTGAGTCTTTCTGGTTTTCATCCTATCGTTTGTTGTTTGTTTTATATTGATTCTCCCTTTTGTTTTGTGTTTTATCTGTCGCTAGTTTTTGTGTGTGATGTTCGTTTGTTGCGCTGCTATGCTACACCAGTTCATTGCTCATACACATTGCGGATGGTAGTGGGTGAAAGAGGAGGAGTAGTGGTGCTGTCTGATGTCTGTTGTTACCGTCTGTTGCAATCTTATTGTTGTGGTTGCTGCTGTTGTTGTTATTATTGTTGTAATTTCTTATTACACACACAAAAAAATGTGTATGTGTGTGAGTGTGTGTGTTCAGCACTACCAACCAACCATTCATCTCCAAAAACTAAAAATAAAAAGTATTGTCGTAGGTGATAGTTTTCATTACAGCTGCATTGGGGTTTGTTTTTTCTTTTTGAAAATTAACAGCCCAGGGCTGAAACGGGAGTCTTTCTTTGGTATTGAAAGCTAAAAACAGCCCAGGGCTGACATTAAAAATTTTTCCTGATATAACCGAGCTGAAGGGAGTGTTTCATAGACACTCGAGTGTTTCACGGGAGTGTTTCATAGACGAGCTGAAGCCCAGGGCTGACACGGGAGTCTTTCATAGAAGAGCTGAAGGCCTGGGCTGAAACGGGAGTCTTTCGTAGACGAGCTGAATTCCAAGGCTGAAACGGGAGTCTTTCATAGACGAGCTGCAGTCCAAGGCTGAAACGGGAGTCTTTCATAGACGAGCTGAAGAACAGGACTGAAGGAAATCTTGATTGACGACCTGAATCCCTGCTGCAGTCCAGTGATATTCTTATATAGACGATCTGCTGAAGGCAGTCTTTAAAGATGATTTGTATATATAGGCGAGCTAAAAGCTGAAGACCAGGCCTGAAGGGAGCCTTAATAGATGAGGCGTTGGCCAGATTTGAAGGAAATCTTTTCTAGGGGACCTGCAAGCCATAGCTAAACGAAAACTTTGTAGATCTGTGGCTGAAGGTTGTCTATGGCTGGTTCTAAAAATACTTCACAATTTTCCTATTTCAAGAAAAATTAATTGATTCACCTAAAGAAAATATTTCAAATTCCCAAATTTTGTCCCTGAAATAGACAAGCCCTCAATAACATTTATCAAATATTTTATTCTTATGTAATTTCATTGATAATACTTTACAATCATGACCTGAATTTCAAATTTGTTTGCCGAAAATTCTTAGAATTTTTTTCATTCTTCGGAATAAAATGCAAAACTTTTTTTTAATTTATTTTATGATTGTTTTTGATATCTGGGGGCATATTTGGTTGTGGTGGATAAATTGTGTAGGTGCCATGTTAATATCAAACATATCCCAGAAGAACATTCCACCACCACCACCACCGACAATATTGTAAAACATGACATTCCAGGCAGATTTATGTCGTTCGTTTGGATTTTTTCAGAGGTGTCAGTTGTATTTTTTCTGCTTTCTTAAATAAAATGCAAATGCATTTCATAAGACTACATCATGTCGAACAACTATGGGAAGAACACGACCACAATTTTTTAATAGACACAAAATGAAAATGTCAAAATTCGCTTCGGTGATGAAAATATTGACTGTCACTCAATAATCCGCATCATTCTCGTCGTACACACGCTTATTTCAGATTTTTTGTTTCTGTTTCACTGCCAACGCACCAAGGTGAGGTGAGTGCGTTCGTGTGTCTTTAGCAGATATGTATCTAATCTTTAGAATACGACGCCATCATATTCTACAGATTTTCCTCATGAGATGATGTTGATCCGAAGAACATGCATGCCATGACGACAGATTGTCAGTCATAGCTGATAAGGCACTTCATTTTACAAAATTAAATCGTTTTTCTTTTTTTCGATGTTGTTGTCGTTGTTGTATTGTGTCACATCATGAATTAATTTTGGACACTTTACACTAATATAAGATTTCGTTATGGTCCCCCATCTAAAAGATTTATTAGTGTTGTAAAATTATATTGACATTAAAAATGGATCATGTAATTTTTATGAAGAGGTCTCCAAAGGGTCTTCTATAAATAAACAGATGGACGAAATGAAGAGACTATCTACAGACCACCCATACGTTTACTACAGAAAAAAGGAGGAGGAGGCGGGGGAGAGATGTGGAGATCCTGGGCTGAAGGAAGTCTTTTTATAGACGAGCTGAAGCCCAGGGCTGAAGGAAGTCTTTTTATAGACGAGCTGAAGCCCAGGGCTGAAGGAAGTCTTTTTATAGACGAGCTGAAGCCCAGGGCTGAAGGAAGTCTTTTTATAGACGAGCTAAAGCCCAGGGCTAAAGGAAACCTTATTATAGACGAGCTGAAGCTCAGGTCTGAAGGAAGTCTTTTTATAGACGAGCTGAAGCCCAGGGCGGAAGGAAGTCTTTTTATAGACGAGCTGAAGCCCAGGGATGAAAGGGAGTCTTGCATAGACGAGCTGAAGTCCAGGGCTGAAGGAAGTCTTTTTATAGACGAGCTGAAGTCCAAGGCTGAAGGAGTCTTTTTATAGACGAGCTGAAGTCCAGGGCTGAAGGAAGTCTTTTTATAGACGAGCTGAAGCCCAGGGCTGAAGGAAGTCTTTTTATAGACGAGCTGAAGCCCAGGACTGAAGGAAGCCTTTTTATAGACGAGCTGAAGCCCAGGGCTGAAGGAAGTCTTTTTATAGACGAGGTGAAGCCCAGGGCTGAAGAAAGTCTTTTTATAGACGAGCTGAAGCCCAGGGCTAAAGGAAACCTTATTATAGACGAACTGAAGCCCAGGTCTGAAGGAAGTCTTTTTATAGACGAAGTGAAGCCCAGGGCGGAAGGAAGTCTTTTTATAGACGAGCTGAAGCCCATGACTGAAGGAAGTCTTTTTATAGACGAGCTGAAGCCCAGGACAGAAGGAAGTCTTTTTATAGACGAGTTGAAGCCCATGATTGAAGGAAGTCTTGTTATAGACGAGCTGAAGCCCAGGACAGAAGGAAGTCTTTTTATAGACTAGCTGAAGCCCAGGCTGAAGGAAGTCTTTTTATAGACGAGCTGAAGCCCAGGGCTGAAGGAAGTCTTTTTATAGACGAGCTGAAGCCCAGGACTAAAGGAAGCCTTTTTATAGACGAGCTGAAGCCCAGGGCTGAAGGAAGTATTTTTATAGACGAGCTGAAGCCCAGGGCTGAAGGAAGTCTTTTTATAGACGAGCTGAAGCCCATGGCTGAAGGAAGTCTTTTTATAGACGAGCTGAAGCCCAGGGCTAAAGGAAACCTTATTATAGACGAGCTGAAGCCCAGGTCTGAAGGAAGTCTTTTTATAGACGAGCTGAAGCCCATGACTAAAGGAAGTCTTGTTATAGATGAGCTGAAGCCCAGGACAGAAGGAAGTCTTTTTATAGACGAGCTGAAGCCCAGGGGTGAAGGAAGTCTTTTTATAGACGAGCTGAAGTCCAGGGCTGAAGGAAGTCTTTTTATAGACGAGCTGAAGTCCAAGGCTGAAGGAGTCTTTTTATAGACGAGCTGAAGTCCAGGGCTGAAGGAAGTCTTTTTATAGACGAGCTGAAGACCAGGGCTGAAGGAAGTCTTTTTATAGACGAGCTGAAGCCCAGGGCTAAAGGAAGTCTTTTTATAGACGAGCTGAAGCCCAGGGCTGAAGAAAGTCTTTTTATAGACGAGCTGAAGCCCAGGGCTGAAGAAAGTCTTTTATAGACGAGCTGAAGCCCAGGGCTGAAGGAAGTCTTTTTTTAGACGAGCTGAAGCCCAGGGCTAAAGGAAACCTTATTATAGACGAACTGAAGCCCAAGTCTGAAGGAAGTCTTTTTATAGACGAGCTGAAGCCCAGGGCGGAAGGAAGTCTTTTTATAGACGAGCTGAAGCCCATGACTGAAGGAAGTCTTGTTATAGACGAGCTGAAGCCCAGGACAGAAGGAAGTCTTTTTATAGACGAGCTGAAGCCCAGGGCTGAAAGGGAGTCTTGCATAGACGAGCTGAAGTCCAGGGCTGAAGGAAGTCTTTTTATAGACGAGCTGAAGTCCAAGGCTGAAGGAAGTCTTTTTATAGACGAGCTGAAGTCCAAGGCTGAAGGAGTCTTTTTATAGACGAGCTGAAGTCCAGGGCTGAAGGAAGTCTTTTTATAGACGAGCTGACGCCAAGGGCTGAAGGAAGTCTTTTTATAGACTTCGATCTTCGACTTTCAAAATCTGTTCAGTTTATAAAATACCTCTTAAAGTTCTTCTATAAATATAGGTTCACTTTTTACACATAAAATATCTTTAATCCGCCTACTACACGCTTTATCCTTTTTTAAATAGCTAATTAATGTGCCCTGCACCAGTTTAATCCTCCCTATTAAAAAGTCTGGTGTATTGCTTGATTCTAATTGAATTAATTACGTTCTAATGTAACTGACGGTATCCTCGTCTCCACCATCATCTGGTGGAGATGATGATGATATGACAACGAATTAAATTTTAATTAATTTCTAATTTTGCTTCAAATGATGGAGCGTTCCTAACACAGAAGACACATTCAGAGGTGGGGCGGAATGACTAGAGGGAGAGGTGAATTGTTGAAGCAAGCATGAAATCAAATCACTTGCAATAACTACAAGAACAACAACAACAGCAGCAGTATTAACATCGTCACCATCGCCATCACCTTCTTTTAGTGTTTGTTTTACTTTTGAAGAGAAAACTTCCGTTCGGTTGTGTGTGTGTTTTCTTTTTTTTGAACACTTGTTCTAGCAGCTAACTAATTTTGACACTTGAGTTACTTCCGATTTAGTTATTTCCGCTTGAATAAATGTGCCAACATTAAACTGTTGCCAGCCAGCTATCCAAGCCAGGACAGCACCGAACACAATGTTCCAAAGAGAAAATAACTATATTGAGAAGTAGTTGCAGGGAGATAGAGAGAGAGAAAGAGTGAGAAGGATAGACAGAGAGGGAGAGATTGTAAGGATGCCTGTGCCAAAAGGAATAACATGTGTCAGTGTGGTGTGGTATGAACATCTTTATCAGGGTGTGTGCTTTGGCATTCCACATGTACATATGGCGGTACGGAGGAAGGGGGAGATGCATGTGATTGGGTTCAGGGATATTGTTTCGTTTTCGTTACACCCAACTCAACCAACGAACCATCAAAAGATCCAGAATTTTTGCGTCATGCCATGCTGCTTTTCACATTCCTATGCACATAGCTGGGAGTGTGTGTGTGTGACTGGCTGGCTGGCTCTATGTTCGTTCAGTGGTGGTAGTGTTTCAATTTAAACATTACCCGCCCCACCTAGCACACCCTTCTCTTCTCCCCCGCAGCCCATAAGCAAAAAGGAAGTAAGCAAGTGCTAAGTGCTCTTCCTATAAAAATTTCAGGATTTTTTTTCATTCATTCATTTTTGTTCCTTTTGTTTGTTAGTTTGTTGTGAATACATTCGTTTTCACTTCCATTCTGTTTGATTCTTATTTCATTATTTAGTCACAAACACACACACTGACCTGACCATGTAATTGTAATCTAGTTTTTCAATAAATAAAGGTCTGTATGGAGTCTTTCATAGACGACCTGAAGCCCAGGGCTGAAACGGAAGTCTTTTATAGACGAGCTGAAGCCCCGCGCTGAAACGGGAGTCTTTCATAGACGAGCTGAAGCCCCGCGCTGAAACGGGAGTCTTTCATAGACGAGCTGAAGCCCCGCGCTGAAACGGAGTCTTTCATAGACGAGCTGAAGCCCCGCGCTGAAACGGGAGTCTTTCATAGACGAGCTGAAGCCCCGCGCTGAAACGGGAGTCTTTCATAGACGAGCTGAAGCCCCGCGCTGAAAGGGAGTCTTTCATAGATAAGCTGAATTCCAGGGCTGGAAGGGAATCCTTCGTAGAGAAGCTGCCGCCCAGAGCTGAATGGGAGGGAGTCTATTTTGTATAGACGAACCATTCAAAACAAATTTAGTTGTTTCCCTAATTTTCTTTTAATCTAAATGTTAGACTACGGGGATAATAACCACAACCACCCTTCATTTACCAATAGGAAAAAAAACACCACCCCACCATAGCCCTATTCATAAAACTTTACAATTTATTGTTACTCTGCCTTTGCCATTTTGCTACATCATCTTTTGTTTTTGTTAGCTGGGCGCATACCCTACACCACCTTCACACAATGTTGATACATTTACATATTTCCATTTTGTTTGTAAAAGCTTCTCATTTTCATTCCATCGCAATGTGGATGGGAGGGTATCCACGATTCTGCTCGTTCAATCGGCGGAGTGGCGTTTATTACTTGTTTTATTTCAAATGCATTTTCGTTTTTTTTTTGTTCTAAAGTTTCTTTCAATCTCTGCTACATCTGTTGGGTATTTCGTCTCTATTTACGGTGGCAGCTGCTGCGTGTAAGCATTTGTCTGCGTGCCCGCCGCCCCAACGTCAGTGATGGTTGTTTGGTTGGTTGTGTGCTCCCTCGCTCGCTCGCTCGTGCTGGTGATGATGATGATTGTGATGCTGTTAGCGATGCTGACGCTGATAATGATAGTGTGTGTGGGTGGTTTGGTGTGGTGTTGGTGGTGGTTGTTTTTCTATTGGGGTGCTGCTTATGTGGCCATTGTGGCGGAATGTTTACAAAATGTATTCGGTTGGGAAAGTTTGTTGAGTGGGTCAAGGTTAAATGCTATATTATAAATAATGTCATTGTTTTTGATTCTTTTTTGTTTTTGTTAATTTCTTATTCCCTTTTCTTACTTTATGCGATGGTTTTATTGATGTTGTTTTTGTTTTTCAACTTTAACAAACATTTTATAAAAAAAATTAACAAGTTTTTTTTTAAAGGAAATCTCAGAAAAAAATTGACATTACATTTCGACCTTTAAAGGCCTCTGAGATATGCGGAGGGAAAGGACTCTAAAGAGGATTTGAGTCCACTGTGGGAAAACGGCGGGGTCTATCACATTGTGGTATGCATTTTCGAAAAGGGCATCGAAAATGCTTCTAGGCCAAATTTTTATCGAAGCTCTGTGGCTTTTCTTAGACCCACAGTGGCCTCATTTAAATTCCATATAAGGGGAAAATAGGTTAGGTCCCATTGTGGAAAAACGGCGGGGTCTATCACATTGTGGTATGCATTTTCGAAAAGGGCATCAAAAATGCTTGTAGGCCAAATTTTTCCCGAACTGTGGAATTGGTTCTCTATATGGGCAACCTTGAACAGTGGAAATATATAGATTATTTTTCTCGTTTTCTTATATACCCCAATATTTCCTAATTAAAACCCATATCTCTATTTCTTCCAGAAATTTTTACCAACATGTGGACTCACGTGTAAATTATTTCCAAAGGAGGAAACTACTAATATTCTAACAGCAATAACAACAACATTTGACTGATTTAACCTCCAAATAAAATAAGAGGAAAGATGAACTATTTTAAAGGAACTCATGTTTAAATGACTGGCTCATAACTCTATGAGCGGAGGTTGGAAAACTTTGGATTGTATGCCGACGACGACGAAGAAGAAGAAGAGAAAATTCCATCATATAGTTTTCTAATCTCCTCCTGCTCCTCGTTTAGAAATACTTTAGGAACCTCTTGAACGCCTTTTTAACATCCAAAATACACACAGAAACAAGAAAAAGGCGAAGTAGAAACAATCCACAAAATGGGTGCAAGTGCATCATCAGCCGGTGGTGGCGGTGGTTATCCATCGGTTATGACTTCATCACAACAGAGTGGCCATTCATCGGCCATGGGTGGTGGTATGCCACCTGGGACAAGTACCAGTTCCAGTTTGCTACTGCCATCAACGGGGGCCAACTCGTTAATGACAAGCTCGATGGGAGGTCTCAGCAGCGGCGGTGCGGTTGGTCCACATTTTCGTGAGCCACGACGGAAACGTGTCACAGGCTTTGCAACGCTTAAACGTAAATTTATAAGACGACGGCGTTCGTCCAAAGCCTGCGACCACGCCCGAGTCCTAAGGGATTTTGTTTCCGACTGGACGCCCCTGGAGTTGGCTGCCTTGTGTGAGGAATATGAAGCCCTGTCTGCTTTACGTGATTTATCAGTAAGTTATGATTTTATTTAAATAAGAATCATTTATTAAAGTGCCTTCCTTCCTTTCCTCGCTTAGATGCAAGCCGAGCTGGCCCGACCACCTGCTACCACATACAAACAAGATCTTGCTGCTCTCTTTGAAACGAAGACTTGTACAGACTGTGATCTCGTCTTCCGTGGCGCCATATTCCCCGTGCATCGCTGCATACTCTCGTCGCGTTGCACCTATTTCCGTGACCTCTTGGCCAGCTGCCCTGGCTTTGGGGCTCGCATCTGTCTCGAATTACCTGCCTCACCAATAGATGTTCAAATGTTCGCCTCACTGTTGCGATATCTCTACACGGGCGACCTGTGTCCTCACGACTCCAGTATAGATATTGGCCTCTTACGGCAGCTGGGTGATGATTTTGGCACACCCAATCCCCTGGAACATGATTTACGGTACTTATTGGAAACGGGTGATTATGCGGATGCCGCCTTGGTTTTCACCTCGGAGAGTTGTGGTGGAGGAGGTGGTGGCGGGTTTTTGGGTGCTGGCGCCAGTGGTAGTAGCATGATTGGTGGTGGTGGTGTTGGTGGCGGCAATGCAGGTCTCAGTACATCACTGGGGATGACTGGCGTTCTTGGCGGTGGTCTAAGTGATGTCTATAACCGCCCCGATTCGGGTAACTCTGAATACGGATTTCGCCCCAAATTGGAACTGCCCTGCCACAAAGCGATTCTCAGTGCCAGATCGCCGTTCTTTCGTAATCTCATAGCCAGACGGACACGCAACATGGATGCCGAGTATGCTGAGCGGGCGTTGCATGTGCCAACGCGCATTGTCCTCGATGAGACCGTGATACCAAAACGTTATGCTCGTGTTCTTTTACATGCCATTTATTTGGATACCGTAGACTTAACATTAATTTTAAGAGGTGCCAATTCGGGTACTACAGCGGCTGGTTCGCTGGGCGAAGTACATGCACTGACGGCGGGCCGTACACGGCCCACACCCCTGGAAGAAGCCATGGAGTTATATCAGATTGGTCGATTCCTGGAATTGGATATATTGGCGCAGGGTTGCGAAGATCTCATATTGGAATGGTTGACCTTGGATACACTGCCAACGGTGCTCAAGTGGGGTAGTCAGGTAGGGCGCCACATATTCAAAACCAATTAAACCCTCTACAGTTTATATTCTCATTTTGTATCCTACAGCCCCATGGTTCAGCGTGGGTTTTTCGTCAGGCTTGCCAATATTTACGCGAAGAATTCTCGGCAGTCATTTCATCACCGGTTCTTCATCAACTCGACAAATCACAACTCATCCACGTCCTCCAGTCGAATTTCTTGCAAGCTTCCGAGTTGGAAGTGCTCCAGGCCGTACTCAAGTGGGGCGAACAAGAGCTTATACGACGCATGGAAGATCGTGAACCCAATCTACTGTCACACACTGCCCATTCGGTGACACGTAAGGGTGTCAAGAAACGCGACCTAAGCGATGTGGAGCTACGAGAAATTCTTTCAGATCTGCTGCCCCTCGTAAGAATGGATCATGTTTTGCCGCCCAATAGTGAGGTTCTGGCCCAAGCCATACGTCGTGGTTTGGTAAGTACTCCACCCTCGCACATGATTGGTGATGAGCGTGAAAATCTAAGGGTGAATGCCTGGATCAGAGGTGGCAAAAATCAAGGCCTCTTTGTAAGGCCGCGCCTTTTTATGCCCTACTTTGAGGAGATCAAAGCATTACTGGAAGACCGCATGACCTCATCACATCATCAGGCGGAATTAATGAGAATGCGTCGTTCGCGACAAATGCCCGATATACCCGATACCCTATATATGGTTTCTCGCATGAATGCTGCTTCGAACAGTGGTGTTGGCAATGCCGGAGTGGGGTCGGGCACCGATACGGTAGATATTTTGGCAGCTGCTGCCGCCATACCTCCACCAGATACTCAAACCTTAGCTGCCATGCTGAAACGGGAACATAAATTGCGACAGTCTCAATTGTGCCAGCGGGCCTTACATCTGCCCCTCTCATCCAAACATGAAATTGACCGGCAGATACGTTTACGTGTCGTTAGAGAATTCAATTTGCCGGATGCAGTTTCGGATCTATTGGAGACCTCACTGCTTGGCAATCCCCGCAATGTTATGCAAGAAGAAGTACAAAATATGGCCGATTCCACGACAACGGTGCAATCTGTCGATGACTGTTGCCTGTTGGAGGACGATGATCAAAGTCCTCCGCCCTCACCGGCAGCAGCATCGGCCGGTTCAGTGCCTAGGCATACCTCAGCGATGGCAGCAAGTTATCTATCCACAACATCGGCAGCAACGTCGTGTGGCAGTAGTGCGGCTGCTGTTGGAGGTGTTGGTGGTGCCGAATCCCTACCCTCTTGTTATACAAGAAATTTAACATTCCCCCGACAACATGCTGCCGGTTTACTAGGCATAGGAGCAATGGGAGCGACGGGATTGCCACCGAATTTTGCGCGTCTCTCGGCCTCAGCACATCATCGCAACGATCTGCCCGCGCTAATAACGGAAGGTGATTATCGTGGATTTGCCCATGGCAGCGCCATTGGTTTGGACATGGGCGGTGCTGAAGGTGGTGCAATGGGCTGTGCGGATGCTGGCAATGCTGGACATTTATCAGATATGATGCCAGATGTGGCAATGGCAACCGCATCATTGGGTCAATTGCATTTGGCCAATGCCGGTGGTAGTTCGGCAAGCAGTACGAATGATATGCCCGAGTCGCTGCAGCTGGATTTGGGTGATGGTTCAAGTCATATGATGGGTGCGGCGGCGGCGGGAGCTGGAGTAGCAGCGGGACCAATGGGGGGATTGAGGGGATTGCAGGTTAGTTAGATTTGTAATGTAAATGGACATTTGTGGAATTGGTAGGCTAAATTTTTCTTTTAAATTTTTCCTTTACAGCACCAATTACCTCCTAGTAATTATCACCATTTCATGCAGCGATCCAATTCACCCTTTGATGTCTTACGACAAGGACAACATTCACCAGCACCTGCGCCACAACAGCATCCACCACCTGGGACGTACAATACTGGACCACCACGTTTCTTATAGAGTTTGCGTGTGGCCCCCGATGAGGGCCTTTATTTTAGCATGCCTTTTTGACAAAAAGCACAAACACAACAACCACAACCCGAACCCAAACCACAAAATCTAACTCCACAAATATATGGCCAGAAGAACCCCCTTAACGACAACATCGACTATGCTAAACCAAAATATTTTTATGTAAAGTCTATACCACCACCACCACCAACAACAAAAAACACAAGACAAAAAATGCCGCCACACACCAACAACAACAAACACTTCAATTTACCTAAATCTACCTTAAATCAATTCTCCTAAAAAACCAAAAACAAAAACATCAAAAATATCTTATCAGCTAAAATAAAGTACACGCGCTCAAATTAAAAGGGATATACATATAAATATATAAAAAAAGAAACTACAAAAACAAAACAAACAAAAAAACTTAACAACAACCAAAAACTTCTTTCAAGGAAGGAAGTTCCAAAAAAAGACACATTTTATGTTTTCCCGTTTGTTTTTTAGTTGTTAACTACTTAAATAATTTGTAAAAACACGAAATTAAATTCTAATATTTTATATAGAGGGTGTGACAAAATCAACGGATGAAGGACGAAAAATTTAAACCGTGAGGAGACAAAACAAAAATACGCTGCTTATAAAATTAAATTACAATTCTTGTTTGGTTTTTGTGTTATAAGATTTTGTTAAATGATTTGCTGATATATTACTGCATACATTCAGGTCTCTGTGAAGCCTAGATAATTGTTATTAGTTCACCGCTCAATAGCGAACTAAATTTAAAATGCCATGTTTGGGGTATTTCACAAAGCTTGCCAATATTAACGCGCGTAGAATTCTCGACAGTCTTCGTTTTCTTCATAAACTCGACAAAATACGAGTTATTGTTCACTCAAGTGGTGCGAACAATAACTTGTACGACGCATGGAAGAACGTGAACGCGATATACTCTCTCACATTCGGTGACAGGTAAGGCGTCAACAAACGCAACCTAAGCGATGTGAAACTATGAGAAATACTTTCAGACCTTCTTCCCATCGTAAGAAGCCACCGTCGTAAGAAACAATCAATCAAGTCAGACGTCGGGCGTCTGGTCAGTACTAACCCTCGCATATGATTGGCGCTGAGCCTGAAAATCTAGGGGTGAATGCCTATATCAGAGATGGCAAAAATCAAGGCCTCTTTGTAAGGCCGCGCCTTTTTATGCCCTATTTTAATGAGATCAAAACATTGCTGGAAGACCGCATGACTTCATCAGGCGGAATTAATGAAAATGGGTCGTTCGCGACAAATGCCCGAACATTCTCGCATGAATGCTGCCTCGAACGGAGTGGGTTTGGACACCGATACTGTAGATATTTTGTCACACATCAATGTCTCTCTCCCTAATAGTGAGGTTTTGACCTAAGCCACATATGTTGTTGGCTGGTACAGTACCACACCCGCACAAATGATTGGTAATGATCGTATGTGATAAAAAATCAAGGTCTCTTGGTAAGGCCAGGCTGATTCCAAGCTCATAAATATAGACTACAGAGCAGACTGCGAAAATGAATTCGTATAAACCGAGGACTTAACTGATATGAAGCTACGTGAATTGCTTTCAGATTTTCTGTTCCTCGTAAGAATGCAGAATGTTTTGCCGCACAAGTCTTAGTAATACACCATGCTCTGGTCAGTACTCCAGCTTTCACGACATGACAAAGTCAATGTAAGGTCATGCTTGTTTATGTCCCATTTTGAGGAGTTCGAAACATTGCTCAAGATGGAAAATATTCTCGTCAACACATTACGATGTGGATAATTACAGTCAGACCTTCTCTCCCAAATAGTGATGTTCAGATCCAAGCGACATATGTGTTATCCCGTACTCCATTTACCATCACAAATAATTGGCGGGTCTTCCGGCAGCAGCATCGGCCGCTTCAGTGCCTAGGCATACCTCGGCGATGGGAGCAAGTTATCTATCCACAACATCGGCAGCAACGTCGTGTGGCAGTAGTGCGGCTGCTGTTGGAGATGTTGGTGGTGCCGAATCCCTACCCTCTTGTTATGCAAGAAATTTAACATTCCAAAGTCGACATGCTGCCGGTTTATTAGGCTTAGAGGCAATGGAAGCGACGGGATTGCCACCGAATTGTGCACGTCTTCTCTCCCAAATAGTGATGTTGAGATCCACGTAACATATGTGTTATCCTGTACTCCACCTTCACCCTCACACATAATTGGCTTGCCTTCATATGCTCTACTTTGAGTAGATCAATGAAATGCTCGAAAATGTCTTGACTTTGCGACAAATATATAAAATTGTAATAAGCTCCTGATTGGTTTTGAGTCAATTTTGTTCGTGACACCTCTAATTAATCCTGATATAGGGTGGAATCTATTACTGGCCATTCTCATCAATTGAACTGAGAAACTATCTATTTTGAAATGTCCTTTATATTAGTCATGTAACACCGAATTTTGAATTAGAATTCAATTCGAAAGCCAAACCGTAGACGATTGATGGACATGAGTTCCGAGGATAGTTTGGATTATAATTTGCCCAAAATGAAATTGAACTACACCCTTTTCAAATCTTATTCAAAACATTTCAATTGCAATTCGAGAATTTCATTGGTAATTCGACAACTCAATTTGCCGTTCATTCATAACATTTCATTTGTAATTCGAGAAAATGTAATTGGTAATTTACAACATATCATTTGTAATTTTAAAATCATTTCATATGAAATTCAAAAAATTTACCATTTGAAATTTCAACAATTTCATTTGTAATTCGTATATTTCCATTTAAACTTCAAAGAAATGTATTCACAATTCAATTTGAAGTTCAAAACATTTCATTTGTAATTCGTAACAACTCATTTCAAATCCATACATTTTCATTTTTCGAATTTCAACTTAAATGTTATGTATTTCAAATAAAATGTTATGTATTTCAAATGAAATGTTATGAATTTCAAATGTATTTTAAATTCATACATTTTCATTGTGTGTTACCAATAATATTTTTCGGATTTCAATAGCAATGTTCTGAATTTCAAATAAAAAGTTATGTATTTCAAATGTATTCAAATTTACTCATTTTTTGACTTAAAGCTGCAATATCCTCTCGTTTTAAAAACAATTTAATTTTTTATTATATCGTTCTTCTTATCACACCCTGTATATAAAAATATTTTTTTCCTTTTTTTGTATAATAATGCCCCAATATTGCCCCACCCGCCTCCAAAAACAAACACACACACTCAATTATACACATACATTTCTCCTATTCCACCACCACCCCTATATTTCACACTGTACTACTACAACTACTCTTCTATACAATACATATAAATATTATTATAATACATATATAAATATAAATTAAAAAAAATGAAGAAAAAACATTAGTTTTATAAAAATTGTTTAATATATTTTTTAATTTTCATTCGATTAATTATTATTATTAGATTTTAGTAATTTATATATATAAATAATTTAATGATAACAAAAATAAAATAACGAAAACAAAAGAAACGTTGTTAGCAAAAATATTTTTATTGTATTTAAATTTAAAGAAAAACAAAAGAGAAAAACCACAACCAACTCGAAATAATTTAGTTGTAAAATAAATAAAAAACATAATCTACAAAAAAAAAAATAAAATAAATAAATTTGTGAAATTGAACAAAAAACAAAAAATTGCCCTCTTCCTTTAAGAAAAAAAAAACAAAACCACAAAAAACTGCGTTTGAATTACAACTCTATTATAAAATAAAAACAAAAATAAATATAAAGAAAAAAAAAAAAGAAAGAAAGAGCCCAGAAAACACACAAAAACAAAGTTAAAGAAATTTAAATATATAAATAAAAATAAAACAAGAATTATAAATATAAATAAACAAAACAAAAACAAACATGTTATAATTTACAAAATTATTAAGCAAAGAAAAAAACAGAATACAACAAAAAATAAAATAAACCTAAAACAAATGAAATATAAATAAAGCCTTTGAATGAAAAACGAACCAATTCAAAAAAAAAAATCCTTTTTAAATTTCTTTAAAAAAGTGGCAGAGGGTTTGTGGCTATAAATATCGATTTAAGAATATTCAAAAAAGTGAACATAATCATATCTGGAGTAAAACGAAGTTAACGTGTCTGATGGGTTTTCAAAGGAGGCTTTGGTGAAATTAAAACAAAATTGTATACAAGACTGTAATGATGTGTTCAAAGAGTTTTTTATACCCTGCTCCATAAGGTGAGGGCAAATTCAATTTGTTATACCATTTGCAACACGAAACGAAATATTCATCGGATAACCCATATAAGATCGAAATCCGTTTATACCGGCCGGCGTAATTGGCCGCTATAAGCGATACGTCGTTATAAAAGAGATATCAAAGAAAGACAAAGCTTTTCTCTAGATTTTGGATAGCATCGGTATAACCGATATTTCGTTATAAACGACTGTGTTATATTCTTGATCAGAATATGTCCGTCTATATCTATAAATCCTGTATCGATATACCAATGGGCATGGATGTATCCTGAACGAACTAGGTATAACATTGGACACACACGTAAAACTATGCGACTATATATCACCTGTCCTGAGATTTGACGATATAGATGTCGTTATCGCTAGTAGAGACGACTGGAACCGTAGCAACCCTCCTCTGGACGATCTGGATTTTTATACAGACGAATCCAAGATGGAAAAAGGTACAGGGGCTGGCGTCTACTGTGAAACGCTAGGCCTTGAGCTTACCTACAAGCTGGTTAGCAACTGTAGTATTTCCAAGCTGAACTCTTCGCGATCTGGAAGGCAGCGGAATTGATAAAAAGAACCGTAGCAAACCTCCTCTGGACGATCTGGATTTTTATACAGACGAATTCAAGATGGAAGAAGGTACAGGGGCTGGCGTCTACTGTGAAAGGCTAGGCCTTGAGCTTATTTCCTAGATGAACTCTTCGCGATCTCGGAGGCAGCGGAATTGATTAAAAGTCTGGATGCAGAGATCGTTGAACCAGTGACTATCTTTGTGGATAGTAAGGCGGCTCTTAAAGCCATCAAATCCTGTAATATGAAATCT